AAACATGTAGGAACAAGCAAATCCCACGAGAAAGGAATAACAGTGTGATTATTCTTTTCAAAACAAATGAACAAAAAATATTTTTGGTGTTGCTACTGGTTATGATCTCTGTTGATATTTAAACAAAATGTGTTTATTTGCGTCCCTAAACTGACTTCAAGCAAAAACCACTTACAGTAAAATTGTTGATAACACGGAGAGCACCATGACAACTGTGCCCAGCTGATTGAAAAGCTTCATAAATTCCTCCTTTTTTTCTTTCACAGATAAAGATGTATTACATACCTCCATCAGCTGATCCTTCATCCTCTTCTGAAACAGCTGCAAAGATACAGATACAGTTAGAATACATTCACAGTACAGTTTTTAAGGTTTCAGAGGACGCTTACATGGACTGTATATCACAAAAATGATTATGTACATCGATCGTCTATCTGCTGTTCCTTTCTGGCATCTCATCTACCAAGAAAGTGTAGCATTGGGAGTATTGGTGCTAATTTCTGCGTTGTTTTCCTTTAATGTTATTCTTCTATGTGCGAACACTTTGTTTCACTGGAGCACCTTCTCTTTTAGGTGGTTGTATAATTCAAAAGTTAGTGCATTAATCCTTACAGACAGTGCGCTTATGTAGGTAGGTGAGGAAAACATGCCGACGGTGGGATGCATAGACCCTGATTAGATGTTTATCACCTGAAAGCGTCACAGAGATGAGAACATACCAGTAGCAGCTGGCAGCAGCAGCAGCAGACACAGGAACAGCAATCGCATCATCTTCAAATGCTGCGGGGGGAAAAGAAAAGTTAAAAATATCTGCTATTAATATTCAGTCATTGATGTGTGTGAAATCTTGGTGTTTTGGTTTAGAGCAAGGGTGTGATGGAAAGCAGCATTATTGAGGCTTGCCTGCCACTTTGAGTTTCAGGATCACATACTGATAGTCAGTGGAAAACTCCAAACTCCAAGCCTACAAGTCCTTGTACTGTTTTACCTGGTTAAAAGTATGCATGCAAATCGAGATTGTAATCTGAGGTGGGTGGTGGTGAAAATGAACGACAACCTTATTTCCCATAGTGCTCAGCAAAAAAAAAAAAAAAAAAAAAAAAAAAAAAAGCTCTTAGAATTCTGTCACAGTCAGCTGGCAACAAGTGTCTATTCAACATTTTCCCTTCCCTATGCAAGAGCCCCATGTCTTCCACTGACAAAACAAAAAGGAATCACATAAATAATTATTTTTGTTCATATATCCTGCAAAGTAATATTCTTGTCACGCTAAAAAAAAGTATGAGCTCGATTTCACTTGAACATATACTTATCCGTCAACTTTATCCTATCACAGAGACCAAGTGATACACTTACACTGGCTGTGACTTCTTTTTGTGTGTGTGTAGTTGTTGTTGTTCTTAAGGAGAAATCTTACAACTTCCTCATGGCACAGGGCCCAAAACAAACCCTACCTCCGTTCCCCATCACCACCACATAGATGTGAAACACAGATGTTCTTAGCCCTGCCACACAAAGCCCCAGCTGTATCCAACACAATATGAATGGTGATATTTTTGAATGGGGAAACATGGGAATGTCGGCTTTTTCCGTTCGGGGTCCCGGAAAAGCCTCATTGGTCAGATTTAGCCATCGCGATTGGCTTGGGATCAGGAACCAGTAGTCAGTCATGCAATGTTTGATACTATGAACAGAAGGATCTTTCCCACTGACCTTTGTGCTAAATGTTATAGGCACCTCTTCATTGTTAGCCTTGCCCATTGTGTCCTTGTTTCCTCCATAGTTAATGACTCCATAGTTATGTGGAAAGAACTGAGATGACCTGCATTGTTAAGGTGCGGATTATCCAAAAGGGCTCTGACGGCAATAAACTGTCTCCTACACATTACTACAATTTAACTATGTGGACTATGCTCACCATATGGCAAGTAGACTCAAATTACCATATTTGGTGTATGGCTGTAAAAAAAGAAAGAAGGCATGGGCATTAAGAATTGAGAATGGAGACTAGTCAACATCAGTTCATTTTTCTTCATAATGTTTTACAGGTTTATGAAAGACCTAGGCATCAGAAATATGGGCAAAAACTGTAATCTCATTATCTATAAATCTATAAATGCTGCCATGGTGGTTGATGTCTTAAAACTTTCATGTGAGACAAATGTCCACCCTGTAGGGCCACACAGGAATGAGTATAGGCCAGTCAACCAGATTATCTTCATGCAAAATTAGCAGAACAGCATTAAGAACTATTTTGGTTGACTTTATTGGAAAAAAGATGTTAATCACACAACTGAGGCTGATTGGAGACAGAGTGTAGTGTGGGCTGTTCTGGCCTCTTGAATAGCTGCAGTAAATCTCCAAATGCAAACAACCTAAGAAGCTGCAAATAAAATCCCCTTCTGTATCCAATTTGCTTTTCAGAGTCGCTTTGGGTGAAATAATAAGCTGATCCAATTTGGAAATATTTATCAACCCAGTCCACTGCCTCTGTATCAAAATGGCTCCTGACGCCTGTATTATTTTTCAAATTGGGTAATATATTCTTGTACATTTGAATGCCGATTGAATTTGCTGTTTAATACCAGACCCAATTTGCAACATATAATAACCAGTGGCTTGCTTATAAAGTAGACATGCTAGCTGCCTTCTGGCTAGATATGCAAAGATCATAGAAGGTAAATGTAGAAATCTACAAATCATAAAACTGGAGTGCAGCGCAGCAAGAAAGGCATATATTGTGCTGTTGCTGGAAGGTAAATGTGTCTTGTTTTTCTTCCAATTTCTCCAATGCAATTTTTCACTGACAGGATTAGCCCTGAATCACATACCTGTCTGACCAGGCCAGCCCACAGTACACCTAAATCTTGTTTACCAGGTTTAATTTTGAATGATGAACACTTTCCACCCCTTCCAGCCCACCCAGTACAATCTATATCAACAAAACACACAAGCAAACAGAGGTTTACTACATGTACATAGACAGGACTACTTGCAGAGTCTCACCCTCTCTCTTTCTTATCTGACTGCACTGATAACAGACCTCAACCACTGTCACACATGACTCTGACACTGCCGATGATAATCTCTAATGTGGACAGATATAAGAGTTATTGTGGCCTAGAGAGGAAACAAGAACATAGAGAGTAAAAGAAGACAGCAAAGAAAACGTCACAATTATTGTGAATATGTTTCAAAGCTAAAACAGACTTGCTCAACAACAAGGCAAAATAGTGAGGACGAAAGGATGGGAAAAAAAGCCCCTAGATAATTTGTTATTCATTGCCATTCAATTTTATGAGAATGGTAGCTTACTCTGGTTCAGTGAAGAGAGAAAATATTCTTATTGAAATGTTTACTCAACTCTGCCATCTCTACAGGAGCTGTTTATCTAAGTGAGGTTAATGCAAATTCATTTTTTTTCTCCCTTTAACATAACATACTCTGCTATTCCACTGGACCACAAACAAAGTAACAAGGAAACTAATGATAAAATTAAAATAAAATAAAAGCAAAACTCACAATACCTCAGTTGTTACCATGTAAACCGGAGAGCGAACTTCCCTCAACACAGAATGAGTCTGCTGAGAAACTAAAACCAAGCGGTTATTTCCAACACAAGTGGTTTCTGGATGACTTGTTGAGCATCAGGCCAATAAGGCCCACAGTAAAACAACAAAAAAGGATATGAGAGTATGTCTGTATATGACAGCGTCTTAAAGACACATCCTGTATTAGCCTGCCCCTCTCCCACTCCCCTCTCTCTCTCTCTCTCTCTCTCTCTCTCTCTCTCTCTCTCTCTCCTTCTCTGCATAAGAAACTATACCTACCTGTAGAGTGAATAAACAACCAGATATGATTCTATGGTTGCACCAAAAGGCATTCTCAGCCTCTGCTGTGGCCGAAACAGCAACAAACGGATTCAGGACATTCAAGACTCTGAGCACGTACACCTCAGATTTTACTTTTTTTATCAGATGGAGACAAAGCTGTAGTTCTTTGTTTTGTTAACAACACTATCACAAGACCTGTCCCAGTCACATTGAGGGTTTTCATAGTCCAATCAGTCTGAAATGCAGCCTCATCACTCCTCCAAGAAACAAGCAACACAATATGTTTTTTTTTTTAGAAAAAACAACTCTGCAGACAAGCTGTGAAAGGGTTCAACAAAGATTTGGTGCCCCTGCTTCACTTCACAAGCAGTGTGATTAACAACAGCAGACAAAAACACGTTATTTGTTGTCAGGCTAATATTTAGCTCAAAAACGGCATTAAGGTACTGACTGTGAATGACAACCTCAACTCACGCACAGGAAGTGAGATAAGGGGTTATGCATCACAAGTCAGGTCTTTTTTCAAATAACACCCTCATCTTGGGTAACCTGTCTGCACGTTTGAATGGATGTAATCAAAGTACTGTCACATTGACTCACTGTATAGAGAACAGAACTGCTGTTGTTTGGAGTTGAATTATCTCTTTATGAGTTACACCCTCAGAACGATAAAGGTAATAAACAACTCACATGAACTTGGGTGAACTTTGGTAAGAAAGTCACAAAAGCTGAGAAAATAAAATATAGAGGAAAAAAGTATGGAACAGTTGCCCTACAGGCTACATGCTGATACTCGTTGAGACTTAGAAAAAAACTTACACTTAAAAAAAACCCCGACTATTAATTGTATGCTAATGGGTTATTTTTACATTACAGCCACGCACTGACAACACTTAAAATAACAAGGAACCTACCAATACAGGAGAAAGACGGCTCTATTGCAAAATGTGTTCTCCGTGTGTAGGAATGAAGGCTTTAAAATCACATCATTGAGTGTCTCTTCATGTCTTTTCCTGAAACTTGACGCACTCTCTACGCCGGTCGATGAGCCACAGCCGAGCCGACGTGTGAACAGGAAAAGCTGTCTACTGTGTGGGCCAATATCGCAGGGCAACTTTATTCTAACCTAACGTACAAGGGGATTCACAGCCACCTCATTTTGCTCTGAAACGCTCTTTGCCACTCAGTCGAGTACTTCGGAAAATACCCTCGTGTGTCTCTTCAGAATTTGCAGTGACAACAGTTTCCTGAAAAACTGTGAGGTTAATGTACTGAGAGTTAGGACATGAATTACACTTACGGAAAGCGGTGATATGTAAAATAAGGTAGCCTTCCGCGTTTTTCGGTAAAGTTGAGTCATGATTTCTGATATTTTTTTTATTTGAAATGGACTAGAAGTTGCATAAACACGACAATTTCAATAATACGTCTACACCGCTGATAATGCTAATGTCAAACACCTGGCAGTTGCATCCTAATTACCCGGCAAATTATGACGTCCACGCGCACTGATTGACAGGCTCGTGCCTTATCAAGCACAGGTGTGCTAATACGCCATCTTTCTACTTTTCCCTCCTCTCCGGCTGGTGCTGCCGGCTTATCAGTACGTTTCTTCGTTTTTTTCCCCTATAGGCATGCAGATAGTCTAAAATCCATCAGGGGAAACAAAATACAGCTGTCCCATTCATGTAAGTTTGCTGTGTCGGTGCAGAAATGCAGTGTGTGCTGCTGCTCCAGTTGTGCCTTTTGGGACTTGGTAAGTGGCATGTTTGTTGTTTGTTTGTAGGTGTACTATATATTTAAAAGGCCATGTGCACAAACATCACAGTGTGATCTGAATATTTTATTTTCAGCTAGTCCTTTCTTCACTCTGCTATCTCCATTTTTAACTTCCCCCACCCCTCCAATATTTGCAGCACACATGCGTTAGCGTTAGGTTTTTCCTCTTTCACCTGCAACACTTAAGTCTCAACACTTCTTCTGTGTAGCTGAGAAGTTCTATTTGTCTAGTTTTGAGTGATGCATGGGGTGTGGTTATGTCCCAGCCCCTGGAACAACAAAAGATACTAATCTGTTAACTGTTGAAGGGAATTATCCAGTAATTGCTTTGAGAAATGGGATGTTAGAAGGCATCATTGTGTTAAAATAAATAAATAAAATCACACACCAACAAACGTTTGCCTTTTTTGTAGCAATGCTTTTCATATGAGTTAAAAAATATTACCCCTATGGTTTTGTTCCATATGAACCATATTGCTACAGTTTGCAGTGGCAATCCATACAACATAAGCATGTACTAAAAAAAGTCAATCAGCATGTAGGAAATAATACAGTAGTTTTATGCAACTAACATGAATCATTTAGAATATTGGCTGAAAATTGAACTTACATTTAAATGAGCTGTTGTTCAGAGTTATCTCTATACTGCTGGTATGTTGTTGCTCCCACGTCAAGATCCTTGTTATCATGGAAACTGCTAGAGTGAGGGTGCAAGGTAACACAGGTGTACTCAGTCAGGAACTAGAAACTATGTTCTTCATTGGCTGCTGCGCTTGTTGAAATCTGACACCACCAGTCATATCTCTGTTACACAAGAAGACTTGCTGTGCACACTGGGAAACTTTCTCCCTGCTCTCAGTGAATAGATGTAATCACTTCAGTGCAAGTGTGTTGTTTGCTGTCATAAAATCAACTGCAGTAGTCCATCTTTGTTTGTAAATGTTGTTTACGCTGGATGAGCATCCTGCAGTTGTGATGTGGGAGCATATTGAAGTGTTTCATACTGAATAATAAGTGTAACTCAATTTTATATTCTCCTCTGCAGGTCTGTCGGGGGGCAGGCCTGGTAGGAAGTTTCTCATGATGTTTCCCCCTCATAATGACCCAACAGCAAACATTAGCCATCAAGTAACCATCACAGCCACTGGTGTTCAATGGACCTCAGTCACTGTGGAGGTTCTGGAAAGCAACTTCATGCAACACATCGTCCTCGCTGCTAGCAAGTCAAAGACAATTCACCTGCCATTGTCTGTGGGACTGACAAGTGATCACTCCTCCTACCTCCTCAGTGTGACGTCTATAAGGCCTGTTACGGTTCTTGCCTCATTCTGTACCCGTATAGGTTGTGACCACAGCCTCCTCCATGATGTGTCCTCCTGGGGGACAACCTACTACCCCATTACTCCTCACTTCCCTAACCAGACGGCTGTCAGCCAGATGGTGATCACAAGCTCAGACCACAAGACATCGGTGGATATCTTCCTCTCAGGGGAAGTGCTCTTTAAAGGCAATGTGTACCCCAGGGATAGTGTCCTCAAGTTGCATATAGGGGTGCTGCAGAGTGTTTACCTCCAGAGCAACTCCAGCCTCTCTGGCTCAGAGTTAAACTCCCAAAAAGCTGTAGGTGTTGTGGTCAGTTTTACCTGCTCCAAACCCACACCTGGGGATTGCTTGTATGGATTTGCTGAATTGAAACCAGTCTCTCACTGGAGTTTTGATTATGTTATCCCTCCCTTGGTAAACACAAGAATGAGTTCCAGTTTCCTGTTGGCAATGGCTGCTATCAGCTCTGACATGGATGTCACCACCAGCACCGGGCGAAAGAGCGTGTCTCTTGTTGGTGGTGAAATGAAAGTCATTCCAGTTTCGACCTCAGATAAAATCTACATTACTAGTGACAGTCCTCTTCAACTTGTTTACTTCAGACTTGATAATGCACAGTGTCCTTCAACTCTAACAGTTCTGCCATCTGTTGATGATATCTGTCAGGCTGTACCTATGTTTGATTCAGGTGATATGAGTGAGCATCAAGATAACAGTACTCACACAGGGAATTACGAGTTTGGTATTGAAATCTCCCAGAAGCCCGAGGATGCTCAGCTGCCTGATAATGCAGAGCCCAGTTCTCCTCACACAGACACAGGTGTGGGACACCTTTTGAGTACCATGAACAGACAACTATATCCAGCAGTATGTGAGATAAGTATGTATTTAGAATGACTTTAAATTACATGTGTACCCTTTTTGTGAATCTGTGGGACAGTTGCATATAGTAAATACTTGACTTTTTTTTTTTTTTGTTTCAGCGACTGATTCTTGTGAAGATTGGCACTGTCGTCACAAACGGAAGTGCCTTATCAAAGATGGAAAACCACTCTGTTCTTTGAAAACTAAAATATGCTCTGCATGGGGTGACTCTTATTACCGCACCTTTGGTGGAAGAGATTTTGTCTTACAGGGAAACTGTAACTACACTTTAGTTCAAACTGCCTGTCCAGGCTTAAATGCTTCTGTTCCACTACAGGTTAATATAGCCAGAGCATATTTGAACAGTGTCTCCACCATCCACATGGTGCAGATAACCATCCAGGGCTTTAATATCTCCATAGTTAAAGGAGACAAAAATCATGTTAGGGTGAGTGTACTGAACTTATTTTATTAAACATACACTTTTTGTCGCGGTTAAGCATTCATGTACATTGTATTCTTGCTTTTAATCCATAGATTAACGGACTGAAGAGAAACCTGCCCCTCACCCTGGGGAATGGGTCCCTGAAGTTTTATCCAAGTGGCTTCAACGTCGTCTTAGAAACTACCTTTGGCCTGGCTCTCCAGTATGACTGGAAACACCATCTCCAGGTTGAAGCTGCCCCGGAGCTGTATGGAGTCCTGTGCGGTTTGTGTGGAAAGGCTAATCACAGCTCTTTGGATGGTGTAATTGCCTCAAAAGACACTGACAAGACTCAAACTGTGGATTTTACTCTCCCATGGGTGGTGAACAGTGATTCTGGCTCCTGTATTGAGGATTGCAGTGGTGGTGTCTCATGTCCAGTGTGCACTCAAAGCCAAACCAAATCTTTTCCTGGCATCAAAAGCAGCTCCCGCATGATTGGGTGCACTCTTCTGCAGAGGAGCGTTGGACCTTTTGCAGATTGTCACGCATATATTGACCCTGAGCCTTATTTTCGTAGCTGTGTTAACAACTTGTGCGTTACAGAAACTGCCTCTTCTGTGTGCAATGTCTTGACTGCCTATGCCAACATCTGCCAGAGGCTTGGGGCCAGAGTGCAAAACTGGAGAACCATAGCAAAGTGCTGTGAGTATTAAATGTTTTGTTTTTTTTAAGTGATAACAATATGGTTTGCTGAAAAAATGCTAATGAGTATATTGTTCCTTTTCATAGCTGTGGCATGTCCTATGAACAGCCACTATGAGATCTGTGGTTCTGCCTGCCCTGCTACCTGCGGTAACCCAGAGGCCCATCGTTATTGCACCCTGCCCTGTGTTGAGTTGTGCCAATGCAACAGGGGCTATCTGCTGAGTGGTGGGAATTGTGTACCACATAGCAAGTGTGGTTGTTATCATCAAGGTTCCTACTATCTCCCCATGGAGAACTTCTGGATTGATGAACAGTGCCAGGAGAAGTGTGTCTGCCAGCCTAACTCCAAGATGGTTATGTGTGCTCCGTCTCATTGCCAGGATGGTAAATTGTGCAAGGTTCTGAATGGAGTCCTGGGTTGTCACATGGGTGATACTGGGTTGTGCATAGCCAAAGGAGATCCTCATTATACTACCTTTGATGGGCGTAACTTTGATGTCTACGGCAACTGTACTTACCTACTCACTTCTCACTGTCCCACCTGGGGCGACCTAGATGACTTTAGCGTGGAGGTCCAGAACCAGATAAGGGATGCTACAAATGTTTCCTTTCGGCGTGTTAAAATGGCAGTTTCTGGTTATTCCATTGAGATGTCGCATGATTGGACTAACAGAGTTAAGGTAGGTCCATTTATTTGCCACAGTAAATCTGGACAAATGTAAGCTTTTTCTTTTCCAGCTTCCAGTGTTCACTTTACTTGTTTCAGGTAAATGGTCTGCTACTGCGTCTTCCATCTGTGTTGAACCAAGGCAAAGTAAAGCTCTACATGACTGGTCTCTCAAAGTGTATAGAGACTGACTTTGGCGTCATTGTGACGCACCGCCCTGATGTCCTGACCGTTCGAATGCCAAGGATTTTCTCTGGTAATCTATGTGGCTTGTGTGGGAACTTTAATGCTAATCCAGAAGATGATTTGATGACGGACGACAAATCTGATATATCTCAGGCCATTAGATACTGGCAAATCAGCAGTGAACATGAATGTTTGGATTCGCCTACGAACACCTCGGGTTGCAGTTCGCAAGATATGGTTCTTTATCAGGGAAAAGATAACTGTGGACGGCTACTGGATACAGAAGGAGCATTCCAGAGCTGCCACAAAACAGTTGATCCACAAGATTTCTACGATAACTGTGTTCATGACCTCTGTTACAATAACCAGACTACCCTGTGTCTGATTCTGTCCAGCTATGTGTCTGTATGTCAAGAAATGGGAGCTATAGTGGATGAATGGAGGGCTTCCAACTTTTGTGGTGAGTAACCATAGTGAAATCTCATTTTTATGTTTAATATGTACATAAGAGGAACATTTTGAATTGAATAGGTTTTTTTCCTCTCCTCCTTAGATATCTCCTGCCCACCTAATAGTAAATACCACCTATGCTCCAGTCACACATCTGACTGTGTAGAAAACCCAAGTCCTCAAGCAATGAAATGCAAAGAGGGCTGTGACTGCAACCCTGGTTTTTTCCACAGTGGTGGGGAATGTGTACCAAACCCTGAGTGTGGCTGCATTTACAGTGATGTTTACCATGAAATCCATGAGCACTTCTACCCCGATGAGCTCTGTCAGCTGCACTGTGTCTGTGTGAGCCACAACAAAGTGCAATGTAAAAACCACACATGTCCAAATGGAACAAAATGTGCCATCCAAGATGGCCACAAGGCATGTCATGCATCAGAGCCTGTTAAATGTGCAGTCATGGGTGGCACACACTTCAGGAGGTATGATGGACATAGCTTTGACTTTAATATGGGAAGCTGCCGTTATGTTCTTTCCCAGGTTTGTGAGGAGGAAGAGTCTGACCCAACTGTTATTATTCAGCGAGGACAGGTGTACCTCAGGGTCCATGGAGTGAACATGTCATTAGAGATGGAGCATTTGGGAAAAGTAAAGGTAAGGAGTTGCACATTTACAAACATCTGTTTAGTGTGCCCTGATTGTAACTTTTTCATTTTCCAGATTGATGGTGTTTTGTGGGGTCTTCCCATCCAGCTGGATCACATGGCAATACTGTATTTGGGCTCGCTGACTCGAGTTGTTTTAGCCACTGGAGTTGTTGTCACTTATGGAGGGCCTAACCTGATACAAATAGTGATGCCTGCCTCCCATAGAAAAATGTGTGGCTTGTGTGGAATCATGAGTGCTGTTAATACAGATGACAAACACCACCCAAATGGCAGCATTGCAAGTGATGTTTCCATCTTTGCATCTTCCTGGTCACTTTCGCAACCGGGAAGAAACTGCTCAGAAGAATGTGATCTCTGCTCAGCATGCAACTCTACCATGGCAGCAGAATTAGCATCTGATAACCTCTGTGGCATACTGCTTGCTCCTGCAAAAGCATTTAGTGGATGCCTCACCGCTGTGGACCCACAGCCTTTCTTTCAGAACTGTGTGAATGATTTGTGTATGTCTAATGGGAATCATGACTTGTTTTGCAGTAGTTTGAGGGCATACACTTTTGCATGCCAGGAGGCAGGAGCTAAGGTCAAACCATGGAGGGGTGAGAAGTGCTGTGAGTATTATTAATCTTGATCTACCTATACAAATGTTTCATAGTCTTATGTTCTGCTTCTGTTGCATTCGTAGAACTCTGGCAAGCCCAATACAGTGAAGTTGCCAGATTTATACAAGGCAGGTAGTTGGACTCTGTACAGTATATGAACCATTTTGTCGCCCTCCCACAGCGCTTTCATGCCCTGAAAACTCTCACTACAATATATGCGTCAGTGCATGCCCGGAGTCCTGTGGTACTCTATCTGATATCCCCTGCCCGTGGGGCTGTTATGAGGGATGTCAATGTGACTCTGGATACATGCAGAGTGGAAATGGCTGCACCAAAGCTGAGAAATGTGGTTGCTTCTACCATGGGCACTACTATGAGGTGAGTAACTACACATTATTTAGCGTAAACATTTCCCCTAATGATTGTAATCAGTGATGTCTCTTAATCCAGTAAACCTGTTTGTTATTTATCATGTGATCTGACCTGAAAATGTCAGCTTCGTTTGACTTCTGATTAACCTATTGGTTCACTGAGGGTGTGTACTGTTATTACAAATTTACATGTGACCCCACTGCTGGTTCAGTTATAAACATGTTGACACAGTCCACCTTAACAAGTGACATGCCCTTGTTATTCCATGCACTGTTAATTACGTGACTCATTAAGGCCAAACGTACATATGCCTCACCTGTACGTGTGGCATGACTAATCCCAAAATCCCGGGCCTTTGGGTTTTCCTATTTGTTTGTTTGGTGTTGAGTAACGCACACCAACAGTGATTCACTATTCTCTGTAGATTGGTGAGGTATCTTGGGCTGAGGGATGCTCTGAGCGGTGTAACTGCTCTGCCACTGCCACCATGTGCTGTGAACCAGCCTCTTGCCCTGAGGGAGAGAGCTGCACCCTTAACGATACGTGGGGCTGTGCAAGGAGAGGTAGGCCCAGCTGGTTCTGCTGGGTTGGGTGACATTTCCACACTAAGTGTTACTCATGGGTCTTGTACAGTCACATTTTTATTTCACTTTGTGGCATGTATGAGTTTGCAAAACCTACGTGACAGAAAAACTAGGTTTTTTTTTGTCTGTGTCTTGTCATTTGCTTAAAATTAGATTAAACCTTTGCCACTTTGAATAGTCCATTATGTACTTGGAAATTTCCTGTCTGCCCTGAGGTTGAGCATGATTGCACTGCTTGTCAATCATAAGTAATAATGCACTTTATAATTCTACCTTTCCTCATAATGCATAATTTAATATAGTTACACATAAGGACGAAATTATTAGCCCCCATATGAAAATTTCATTTTTTAAGTATTTCCCAAGTGCTATTAAACAGAGCAAAGAATTTTTAACATAGCTTTTTCAAACATCCTAGTTTTATTTTGGATGCTTACATTATTTTACTTTGCAAACACAATTGTTTCACAAAAACCAAAAACTACCAGGGTCAAAATTATTAGCCCCCTTAAGAACTGACCTTTTTATTGAGCCATAGCACAAACCACTGTTGTGCAATGCTGTGCTTTAACTTTGTAATGCTCAAAGCTTGTAATATCCATTCAAAACTGAGGGTTATCTCCCAATTTACACACAGTATAAAAACTTCAGTAAGGGTTTGAGCTGTCGCTTGAGAAAGCGTCATGCAAAAACAGAAATCAGTTTAGACTTGAGAAAAAGAAATGTTAGTGCTCACAAAGCAGGAGAAGGATATACAAAGTTATCACAGCGTTTCCAAGTGTCAAGAACTGGAGTGAGAAGTATCATCAAAAAATTCAAAGAGAGCCACACAGTACAGAACAAGCTGGGCAGAGGTAGGAAGCGAAAGATTTCAAAAACTCTGGAAAGAAAACTAGTGAGAGATGTGTCTAAAGACCCCAGAACAACTGCCAAGACACTAGTGAATGACTTAGCCAAGTCGGGAATTGTAGAGCTCTGCACAGGAATGGACTGCAAGGTTGCAGACCAAGAAAAACTCCACTTCTGCAGAAGAGACACCTTCAAGCCAGACTGAAGTATGCTAAAGACAACCTGGAGAAAGATTATGCATACTGGAAGCGTGTCCTTTGGTCAGATGAGATGAAAATAGAGCTCTTTGGCCATAGAGACATTGCTTATGTTTGGAGAAAGAAGGGAGAGACGTATAACCCAAAGAACACCGTCCCCACAGTGAAACATGGTGGTGGGAGTATTATGCTGTGGGGATGCTTCAGTGCATCTGGAACTGGGAATCTCGTCAAGGTGGAAGGAATCATGAAGAAAGGATATGTGAAGATTTTGAAAGAGAACCTCGAGCAGTCAGCAGCAAAACTGGGTCTGAGTCATCGCTTTGTCTTCCAACACGATAACGACCCAAAACATACAACGCTCCTGGTGAAGAACTACCTCCAGAAGACCAAAGTGAAAATTATTGACTGGCCTGCACAAAGCCCTGACTTGAACCCAATTGAAAATCTGTGGGGTGAACTGAAGACCAAGGTCCATGCCAAAAGGCCATCAAATCTGGAGGAGCTTGAGAGAGATGCCAAAAAAGAATGGGCTGGGATTCCTCAGGACATGTCAGACTTATTAAACTACAAGAAACGACTGCAGGCTGTTATCCAGCAAAAAGGTTACCCAATTGACTATTCAATAATAATGTAAGCATCCAAAATAAAACCATGATGTTTGAAAAAGCTGTTAAAAATTCTTTGCTCTGTTTTAATAGCAGTTGGTAAATACTTTAAAAAAAAATTTCATAGGGTGGCTAATTTCGTCATGTGTACATTTAGTTAATATTTTTAAAGGGCTGACTGTCTGCAGGTAGCTATACCTAAACAGCAATTATGTGATACTTTCCCCCTTATTTTTTCAGCTGATAATTCTAAAACCTGTGAGAATGGAGAAACCTGTGGTGCCCAACCTCAGCAAACCCAGTGTTGGGTCCTTGGGGGTGCCCACTTCTACACTTTTGATGGAAAAGTGTTTGAATTCCAAGGAAACTGTACCTACACTCTGATCCATATGATTGACAATAATACATTATGGGTCGGTGTACAGAAAGACAGGACCCCCAACAAGGCTTCCTTTCTCAAAGCTATTCATGTCAAAGTGGCTAAAGACAATATTACGATCTACAGAGGTGAAAAGGGCTCTGCTTGGGTAAGTTTGAATTTGGAGACAGTCACATTACCATCCTTGCCTTTTTTTTTTTTTTTTTTTTTTTAATAAACTTTATAAATTATCGTTGACTGACATCTTATCGTATAATGAAGATTTCTTCAAGATTACTTTTAGATATACAGTCCGTTTTTTCACAGCATAGATACACTGAAACTACAACAGTTAAAATGGCATGATAATACATTGTTAAATATATATACAAATGTGTTTTGTGCTCTCAACAGGTAAATGGCGAGAAAAGGCTACTGCCTGTGACTCTACAGTTTGGACTCATTAAAATTTATCAAAGTGGCATTTTTGTTGTTATGGATATTAGTCTGGGCCTCCAAATTAAGTATGACTGCTCTCATATTGTCGCTATCCTCCTCTTTAATACAATAGAAGTCTGTGGTATGTGTGGGAATAATAATGGCATCGAAGAAGATGACCTCAAGACCCCACAGGGTGAGGCTGTTGATGCTACCACCTTTGGCTGGAGCTGGAGAGTTCCTGATCAGGAAGCTCAGTGTACAGCAGATTGTGGCGATGCATGCCCACGCTGTTCTGCTGAACAGATACAGAATGTAGCCAGTCAGTGGATCTACCTGCATGAGTACATTTGGTCAACACCAAATCCATTCTACCTGTGCCGGGAAGCTGTTGACTACACTAAAATCTCCACAGCAGTGAGCATATTTGATCTGTGCTCTAGTGATGACGCTCAGAAGGCCCTCTGCCTGATCTTGGAGGCCTATGCTGCCGCCTGCCAAAATGCTGGGATCCAGGTGGGAGAGTGGAGGAATCACACCTCCTGCCGTAAGTAATTTGTTGCAATTGCTTAATTGGTATTTCCAATGTCTTACAAATCAACACAGATACTTTGTTATTTCTATTTTACACATGACTACACTGAAGCCTTCATTAAAAGATCCTAAATATACCTTCTTAATAAGCAGAATTTTCACTTAGCCCAACAGCTGCTTCTGGTAAATTATACTGTGTATGTGCGCACACACACAGCATGTCAGGAGTGTGTAGTTTTTTTTTTTTCCCCTCCATATTGCTGATCATTCTTTCTCTCCAATCAGCCATGTCATGCCCACAGAATAGCCATTATAAGTCCTGTGGCACAGCCTGCCCTGCCACCTGTGAAGACCCATTCAGTTCAAGACCCTGCATCCTGCTTTGTGTGGAGACCTGCCAGTGTGACCCAGGGTTCGTCCTGGAAGGTGACACTTGCATCCCCTTGTCCCAGTGTGGCTGCTCTCACAATGGTTTCAGTTATCACAGCAACCAGACCTTCTGGGCTGATGAGGGATGCACTGAACAGTGTGTTTGTGACCCTCACACCCACCAGACGCTATGCCATTCGGTTTCTTGCGGCCCAGATGAATACTGCGACCTTCAAGATGGAGTCAGAGGTTGTGTGTCGTACCCCCATCAGACATGCATGTACACTGGTCATCACATAGTCACCTTTGACCAGCATGACTATGATTTCCATGGCACCTGTCGGTACCAGTTAGTGGGCCTGTGTGGTCAAAAGCAAGGCCTTGATGCCATTCAGGTTTATGTACAGACAGATGGACACCTCGAGTCAGCACTTCATGTCCTGGTCAATGTGAGTGGCGTGCTTGTGAAGTTAAACAGCAAAAACACTGAGAATATAGAGGTGAGTGCCAGTGTCACGTTGTTGCTGTGTATATCTTTTAGTTGTTTTTTGTCATGTCACAGACCGAAACATTGACACTATAATGGGTCATAAATAATCTAATAATTAGACCAGACTTTTACAGAGATTACTTTTAAAAATGTGCTACCCTGTGCTGACTTTGAAATGCAATTTTGCCACCCCCTACAGGTTGATGGTGTCAAGAGGAGCATGCCCTATCACTTCAGCCTTGCTGCATTGGCTTTCTCTTTGGGGCTGCACACTTACATCTACACAGACATGGGCTTTGAATTTAGTCTCAGTGTGGAGGGCATAGTGGGCATTAGTCTCTCCACTAAATATGCTAATGCTACTTGTGGCCTCTGTGGTAACTTCAACTCTGATCCTGCTGATGACCTCACAGCAAATGGCACACAAGAGCATCTCAGTCCTGAGCATTTTGGAAAAGCTTGGAGAAGTGGGCGGAATCTTTGGTGTGTGGAGGGCTGTCTAGGAGGAAGTTGTCCAAAATGTTCATCTGAGCGTCTGTCCCGCCTCTCTGACCCAGAGGCTTGCGGGAAGATTCTCGAAGTTAATGGACCATTCAGACACTGTCATGGCAAAGTGGACCCCTCCAGCTTTTACAAGCGCTGCATCAGTGACCTGTGTCTTCATGGAGGTCTCCAGCCTGCACTGTGTCACTCGCTAGCAGAGTATACTGCTGTCTGCCTTTCCCACGAGGCTACGGTTTATGCCTGGAGGAGTCCTGGACTCTGCTGTGAGTGTTTTAGTGTGCTCTAGCTCTGTTGTGCAAGTGAATTAAATTAATATCTTCTACAATTGTAACTGTGCTGTTTGGAGTTCAGCATCATTGCACACCAAATTAAATATGGAGAGTTTGCAGATGCCATTTCATCATGTTTAGATTGTTTGATATTGATTGGGGTAACATGAGGAAAAGGGAATGGAGATTATTTGCATACAAATCAGATATATGCCTGTAGGTACGTAAAGAATTATTGCATTGTGTTTATTTCAAGTTTTAAAAAAATATTTGTGCTATGACTCATATTGGTATTGAGGCCACAACCTTCCAGGTGCTATTGGACCACTAGATGGTACTAATGCATCACTGGTCAACCCTAACCTTTACAATGTTTTCCTGTCTTGCTGCCCTATGTGACTGATGTCTCTCTGTATCTCTACAGACCTGTCATGTCCCTCCAGTACCAGTTACAATGTGAGTTCTGCTTCTGTTCACCTCTGCCTCAGCTGGCAGAATAACACAGTAGAGATGCCCCTAAACACTGGGGAGAGCTGCCTCTGCAAAGGAGGTTTAGTCCACAGTGGCAACCTCTGTGTCTCTCCAGAAAACTGTGGCTGCTTTCACCATGGAGAATACCTCAGGGCAGGACAGGAGGTGTCAACATGCGAACAAAGCTGTTTATGCCATGCTGGGGGACACATGACTTGTCGTAATGTCTCCTGTGGCGAGGATGAGGAATGTAAGCTTATTAGGGGTGTTCAAGGCTGCCACCCCAAACCCAAAGTGGCACACTGCTCTGTTGATGGATCCCAATATACCACATTTGATGGACAGGCATTTGAATTTCATGGTTCATGTAACTACACCTTGGTGCAGACATGCTCTCTCAAGAAACTGAATGTGGAGCCTGTTTTGATAGCTGCACAGGGGAACCATGGTCAGGGCAGTGAAATCTACCTGCAAGTCAATAAAATGTATTTTAAGACATCAGCAGCTTTGCCTGGAAAAATTCAGGTAATTCATGTAATGATTTCACAACCTTCAACATGATTTATAGTTCATTTCTTGGAATGCACTGTAAAGTAATTTTTCACAGCATACACTAACTATTATATATTATGTTTTTAAAAGTGAATTATTTCACCCAGGTAAATGGAGTGTATGAGAACCTGCCGTTCTCACAGAGCAACGTCACTGTGCATCAGAATAATGGATGGATAACCATCAAGACCCCACAGTCAGTTGAGCTTGTATCTGACCTACAAAACCACATTCTGGTCAAGATACCTGACATTTATCACCAGACAACCTGCGGCCTGTGTGGGAACTACAATGATGATCCCTCAGATGACCTGCAGCTACCCAATGGCACTTTGATCTCTGATCCTGACAGCTTTGGGCCGTCATGGAAGTTGTCTGATATTGAATCATCCTGCAACGATACAAGTGACAGTACCTGTCAACTCTGCCAGTCCCCTGTGCCAGAGTACACCTCTGACCTGTACTGTGGGCTTATCACCCATCCCAACGGACCCTTCTCCTCTTGTCAGCATTTAGTGTGCCCACAGAAATATTACTCACGCTGCATGAAAAACCTTTGTGTTGCAGAGGGACAACTCTGGGCCCTGTGTGACGCGCTGTGGGCCTATGAAGCAGCATGTAAGGAGGCAGGAGGGGTGGTTGACCTCTGGACGAACACTACAGGTTGTGGTAAGTCTTAACAGCTTGGTACATTGTTTAAATGGCATCAGTAACATTCCAGCAACAGTATAATTAACTGCATTTTATAATTTAAGAGCTGTGTGGTTTTTATTTTACAGCTCATCAATGTCCTAAATTCAGCCACTATAGCCAGTGTGCTAATGCTTGCTCCTCACTGTGTCCTGAGATAATCCAGGCAGTGCAGTGCCCCAGGGACTGTGAGGAAGGTTGCCAGTGTAATACTGGACACCTTTATGATGGCAATGCCTGTGTACCAGCAGAGCAGTGTGGTTGCATACAGGGCGGGAGGAGGTTTAAGGTCAGAATTAAACAGTTCTGTGTCCAGTCTAATTAGAAAAGTGTTCATTTAGCTAGTCCTAAACTTTAACTTGAATTATACCATTTATGTTTGCAATTAAGAATTTTATTCAAATTAATAATTTGCCTCTTCAGTAAATGCAGTCCAATATTCTTTTGCTTCTTTCATGTTTGTATTTTCAGGCCTCTGAGAGCAAACTGCTTCAGAACTGTACTATTAACTGCACCTGTGGGCCTCCTCTTGTCTGTGAGCAATACTCATGTCCTCCACTGCACAGTTGTATGGTTTCTGATGGAATTGTGGGTTGCCACAAGGATGGTGAGCATTACAATAGAAAACATTTTTAGATACTGATTTGTTTAGTGCATTTATTACATTTCATGTTGTTAAAACTAAAATGTCTGTTTTCCTTTCAAGCACAGCAAAACTCAGATCCATGTGAGGGAAACTGTGACAAAACAGAAAAATGCTACCTGAGCAATGGTGAGCCAGTCTGTGAAAGCAGTCAGGGTTTGTGTTGGGCTTGGGGAGGCCAGCACTACCACACCTTCGATGGGCACGACTATGACTTTAATGGTACCTGTACCTATCTGCTCGCTGCAAGCAAAGGGTCCGCATGTGGTCTGACACCCTTTAGTCTGTCAACAAAGAATGACTGTATAGAGGATGCAGCCAATCTGCTTCCAATGCAGTCGTTGACTTTACAAGCTTATGGGTTCATGATCAAGCTCAGTGAAAATGGCAGCATACATGTAAGTAAATGTCAATTTCTGAATGACAAAGATGCTCAATTTTTACTTTGATCACTAATGAGTCCTCTTCGTGTGTGTGTGTGTGTGTGTGTGTGTGTGTGTGTGTGTGTGTGTGTGTGTGTGTTTTTTTTTTAGGTTAATGGTCAAGTGACTTATATTCCTTTTAATCTGTTGCGGGGTAAGATTCAGGTCTCTTACAAGGAAGGCAAATCTCTACTGAAAACTGACTTTGGTATGCGTGTAGTCTTTGAATGCAACTCCTCTGTTGTTGTTACACTGGACCCACGCTACAAGGACAAAGTCTATGGGCTGTGTGGCAATTTCAACGGAAATCCACTAGATGAGTATCCTGTAACTACGCCTGGTTCTCCTCCCATTAAGGCAAGTGTGGAGTTTGCTCAGACTTACCGGCTTTTTGATGGGGACCATAACTGTTGTACTGGCTGTGAACGGAAATTGCATGATCCAACCTTGCCCTTAGATCCCGATTCTGGCATTATTTCTAGTTACAAGAGACATTGTGCAGTGCTCAGTGATCAGAACGGTCCATTCACCCACTGTCACAGTCGAGTCAATCCAGATTCCTTTTATGAACGTTGTGTAGTTGACCACATGCATAATGGGTCAAAAGAGTCAAAAGTTGCTCTTCACCAAGCCATACATTCATATTCCATAGTTTGTGAAGAATCTGATAGCTACCACAGTGAAGTGACAGTTGGTAAGTAGTTCTGTTGATGAATGCAATATAATGCAATTTTACATTTTCTTGACTACTGTGATAGACTCTTTAAATTACAAACAAATTAATCATTTCAGATGTGCACTGTCCACCAAACAGCCACTTCAAGACATGTGGCTCAGCCTGTCCTCCATCCTGTGAATCTAATGCCACCATCTGTAATAAGGCCTGTGTTCAGGGCTGTTTCTGTAACCCTGGGTTCTTTAGGAGTCCAACTGGATGTGTGCGTCTAAATCAGTGTGGCTGCACAGACTCCAGAAGCAAATACTACAGCCTGAATTCCACTTTCTGGGCACCAGACAACTGTGGGCAGCTCTGTATCTGTGGGCCGGCTCCTGGAGAGGTCCACTGCCGGCCCGCCCAATGTCCCAGAGGAATGGTCTGCATGCAGCTATATCACAAGAGGGTGTGTCAACCTGAAAAACCTCGGAACTGTACCATTGTTACTGGGCTACATTTTATGACCTTTGATGGATATCATTTTGACTTAAGAGACAGTTGTTCCTATTCATTGGTTCAAACCAACTCCAACTTAACTGGACTAACACCATTCAGTGTCACTATCTCTGATGCAAGCTGTCACAAAAGGCTTTTTCACAGCCTTAACTTAACACTCAAAATCTATGATTTGGAGGTGGTGGTGAGAAAAGATGAACCAGGAAAGGTTTTGGTGAGTACTTTGGAAGGTCTTATCAACAGCCTCCAAAATGAACCACTATGTATTTTTAATGTGATGTTTCTTTTTATTCTCAGTTTAATGAGCTGAATAAGACCTTGCCATACTCTTACCAGACAGGCCATGTAAAGTCCTACCGAACACCTTCATCTCTCGTCATTCACACTGATGTGGGATTACAGCTGATCGTCTACAACACTGGCACTATAATGGTTATCCTCCCCAGCAGTTACAGCTCTTCTGTCTCAGGTCTTTGTGGGAATGCCAACTCTGACCCTGATGATGACCAAATGATGCCGGATGGAGACCTGGCCCAAAACAAACTGGAGTTTTCCCACAGCTGGAGGTCTCTGGGAGCAGAGGCCTGTAGGCCCAAGTGTTCCTTCACACTGAAGCATTGTCCTGTTGAGACACAGAAGCTTTTTGAAGGCAGCGATTTTTGTGGGGTGTTGTTGAATGAACTAGGGCCACTTGCAGAGTGTGCCTCAGTGTTAAGTCCCAAGCATTACTTTCACAGCTGTGTAGCAGATTCCTGCTCCTATGGCGGTCACTACTCAGCACTCTGCAATTCCATTTCAACTTATGTAACAGCCTGCCAAGCAGTCCAGCTGCCAGTCCGGCAGTGGAGGACTGACACTTTCTGTGGTGAGTACATGGTTAAATCTGTTTTATTTTACTTAAGTTTAATCTTAAGACATTGAATGTGTGATGTCTGTCTGTGTTCAGGGCTGTTGCACTGTGAAATAGCCAAGTACTTGAGGGCTCACTTGACTTTGACTTCATGTACATGTCATACAAGGCAGCAATCATGCAAACTTTGTGTTTTGCCATTAATTCATTAACACTACCAATAAAAATAGGAATGACAGAAGGAAGCCTGCAACAGTTACACATAAAGGACAAGTTTACATGTACAGCTCATTTACAAGTGCTGTGCAGCTGTTTGATTTATTTGATACCTTTTCATGTGTCAATTACATATGCTGGGCAGCAATACTACTTTGCCTTTTAAATGGCCAGAGCATCCTCCTAAATGTATGAAAAATTCTGTAGGATAAAAGTATATTCATTGTGTAAATCATATGTTAAATGCTTCTTCTGTAAAGTTGATTTATTTAGCCTCTCTCCCCCCTTAGATATGTTGTGCCCCAAGAATAGCCACTATGAGCTGTGTGGCCCTCGATGTCCTGTTGTGTGCCCTGGACTGTCCTCTCCAGCAAACTGTAGTGGAGGTTGTGAGGAGGGCTGCCAGTGTGACCCTGGCTACGTCCTGAGTGATGGCCAGTGTGTGCTGGTTTCTGACTGTGGCTGCATGCATGCGGGACAGTATCACCCCGCTGGCCACTTTACTTCTGAGAAAAGCTGCCAAAAGTGTAACTGTGAAAGAGGACAAGTGACCTGCATCCCCATAGAAAGCTGTTCAGTAAAAGAAGGCCTTTCCCTGCAGTATGGAGTGTGCCAAGTATTTGCTGGCTTTGGCTACATCACTTTTGATGGCGTTATTTTGCCTCACCACGGAGCTTGTACCTATGTGATGTCAGCCCTCTCCTCTAAAGACATGCATGACTATACTCTGCTACTTAGCTTTAAAAAGGAAAGTAATGGCATTTTCTCAATAAGCAGACTGGTATTTCGTGTGCTTTCACTGGAAGTGTCCATTGACCTTGAAACTCTATGGAAAATCCAAGTAAGTACTGCAATTTCTAGCTATGTGTGTTAAATCTTTGCAGCCTTAACTTGTCTCTGTCCTTTCAGGTAAACGGAGAAGAACGCAGAGTTCCTTTTGACAATGGAGAACTTAAAGCATACCAAGTTGGCAACAGGCTGATTATCATCACACTATCTGGGGTGGGAATTGACTTGTCCTCTACCCAGTACCTCAGGTTAACTGTACCACAGATACATGACGGCACAGCTTCGGGCCTCTGTGGGAACTTCAATGGGGACAGGTATGATGACTTGGAACTGAGAAATGGTAATCTTGCCAAAGAGTTTGCAAATGTCCTGCACAGCTGGGCAGAAGTAGCTCCTGGACAGCATTGCACTGACACTTGTGGGAAAGAGTGTGATGACTGCACCCTGTCCACACATGACCGCATGGTCTGTGATGTCCTGTTGATGAATAGTATTGAATTCAACCATTGTTGGAACAGTGGTGTGGAGCGCGATATTTACGTAAGTATGTGCATCCGGGCGCTTTGTACTGGGGCAGGGCACATGGCTGCATGTCTAGCACTGGAAGCATATTCTGCAGCCTGCCAGGCCAAAGGAATACCAGTAGGGCCGTGGAGAGAGAACACTTATTGCGGTAAGTGAATCATTTTGTTCACTGTTTAAATTAAGAGTGTGTGAGTTGCGCTAAATTATTTTGTATTTACTACACCCAGCTTTGCAGTGTCATGACCGGAGCAGCCCGGGGGAGTGTGTTGACTCTAGCTCAAACTCGTGCCCTGCTCTGCTCCAGCCTGGTTCAGCAACTGGCTGTTCAGAAGGCTGCCAGTGCCACCATGGGAATGTGTTTGATGGGGGCGAGTGTGTACCTTACAGTCAATGTGGGTGTGTTCTTCATGATAAATATATTAAGGTAAATACAAGATTAATACGTACACTAAATGCTATGTACACGAAAGGTTTTTAGCAGTAGTGAAGGAAGTATTGGATCCTACTTCAGTAAAAGTACTAGTGTCACACTGTTTAAAAGTCCTGCTTTTAAAAAATGTTTTGTCCAGCCAATAGTCCAAGCCTCAATGATTAGAAATTGACAAAAAAAAAAATTGAGGAAAAGCTAACTATTTGTTTCAGCTTTACTTGAATTGTTTGGTAGATTAATTTAGAACAAAGCATCACATCTAATTTTCTAGTCTTGTGTGCAAAAATCTTAACTTTGTAAGTAACTAAAGCTGTCAAATAATTGTAGTGAAGTACAAAGTACAATATTTCCCACTGAAACATAATGGAGAAGTAGAAAGTGGGGGAAAAAAGACTTGAGGTACTTGAGTACAGTACAGAGTAAATTCACTTAGTTACATACCACCACCAATTAAATGATTTGGTTTCTGTCTTTTCCACTTCTTAGAAAGATGAGCAACTGTACTCTGACGACTGCACCCGGAGATGCTGGTGCCACCCTTTGAGCGGGGTGATATGTGAGGAGACAGGCTGCAGTCGAGGGCAGCAGTGTGCTCTGAGGAACGGTTTCTGGGGCTGTCATGACAGACCTGAAGCTTGTGAGCTCAGGGACAGCCTCCATGTCTCCACATTAAGTGGGCAGCAGCTGGACTTGAAACCTCGGTTATTTTATAGCTTGATGTCCCTCTGTGATGAGGCCAGTGTGCAGTGGTTCAGCGTGATCTCTTACCATGGACCTTGTGATGGCAACTCTTCCAGGCTTGTCACTGAGTTTCAAATCCTGCTGCATGGATCATTATTTGCCATACAGGGTGGCATAGTGAAGGTATAACTCAACTAAGGACTTTGATGGTGACAAACTGAAACATGTATTGGAATTTTCCAATGGTTTTCCTGACTCACTTTTTCACCCTGCAGGTAAATGGACATATTGTGTCCCTCCCTCACATTTTGCCATCAGGTGTGTCCCTGACATCTGGTGTGAACCAGGACAAGTCAGAGGTCATAGTGATCCTGAGGAAAGATGCTGGGATGGAGTCTGAGCTGAAGATGGAGATTGGTGTTACCATGGTGACAGTCAGGATCCCTCTCTGGTACTCTGGGAAATTGTGTGGTCTCTGTGGAAACCGTAATGACCTCCACTCTAACAATTCAGTCAGGTCATGGGTTCTCCCGGACTTTCCTGGCTGGTAAGTGATGTTCTCTACAACAGTAGTACTGTCTGTGCATTGAAAAACTTGTGTTTATGTTTAAAAATGAATTCAAAAATGTATCTTTTCTTTTTCCACAGTGGCTTCACTGGATAACCGCCTGTTGTAATGTCCTGAGTATTGTGTACTGTTGAACGTTTTAAAAATAAAATATTAAAAAAACTTTGTGTATAGTCTGTGATTTAAACTCTGATGGATGGCATGCCCTTCTCATACATTTCACATAATGCTGGCTGTACTCTTATCAGTTAGACCCACACACCTTTTTTGAATAAGGTCATCTCTGGCCAATGTTGACTTGGTTCCAACAAGAAAAAAAGTAATGAGGGCACACCTTTTTATCTAAATCCTCAAAGTGTGTACAGTACCCATGCTCTGTTTCCCTGCCCAAGGGCTACTGACCAAATGAACACTTAAATATTTGCGGTTGTATCATTATTTTCCCAAGTTATATTTACTTTCCCTCTATTACAAATTATTGTTCCTCCCTCCACTACATACTGTTATTTCTGGGTGACACCCAAAACCAACAGAAACCACCCGTTTAGCCAAACAACTACAGAAATGTTAGTTTAAGAATTGATCAATCAGGTCCAATAGATTATCCACCCATTTTGCAAGTTTTACAAGGTTGCACATCTTTGACATATTTATTTACAAGAATGAACTGGCTTAAAGGACACAATATAAACATTCACAGACATTATGATTTATGCACTGACTAGAGCTAATATGCAACGTGCAGGTGGAAAATAGTTATTTTTTTTAAACTGATAAAACAAATTCCATAAATCTAAGAGGCAGAAGAGCAGTTAAGAAAAATAAGCTATAGAGAATAAGTGTAGATAAAATTGTATCACAATGTCAGTATGTAACGTTTTTATTTAGTATCTGTTAAAAGTGAAGTTTTGTGCACACTTGGATCCAAGTAATATATCACTTTAAAGTGATCTAGGTGTTTAGAAATCTATCAAAGATTTGGCCGAGGAGCGGTTTGTCATCCTGCATGTTGAGCGCCTGCTAAAATGTAATTGCATCACAGCTGAGTTATTTCTACAGTGGACATCTAAGAAAATGTTTGGTCTTAATGGAAGAAACCAGCATTTGGAATCACACACAGTCTGTGTCGTGAGATATCAATGTAATACAAAAATTCACTATTCCTCAAAACACTGCCTCATTATCAGACTAGACTGTCCGCTTGGGTAACTTTAAAGATAAGTTGTGACTTTGGTCTTATCACATGCTTGCCTTGCCCTGTCTAAAATGGATAGTACTATTTGGTTACACCAGAATATACATACTGCTGTGGGCAAATAATTAAATTGACCTATAGCTTCCTGTTTTACACATCCAGTAGCATTTGAATTTCTTTTCTTTTTTTTTTTTTTTTTTTAAAAAGTCACCAAAAAAAGTGTGTAATAAACATGTCTAAAAACTTTAATAGTATGATTCATGTATTAGGGATATATTATCCCAATTTTGTACATTTTCCACTAAAGCGGAAATTAGAGATTTTCTAAGAAAGTTCTCTGGGTTGAGAATTATTTTTACTTAAATTTGACTTCTACACCACTGCAAGTCTTTCAGAAGTTCATGTGGGGATTCTCATCAGTTTCTGGGACACAGATGTCACTGGGTGTGGTGTTTCTGAGGAAAAAGATGAATGATTAATCAAATATGTAGTTTGTGTTGGACCTCCCACCTATGTCAACATACAGCAGGACCTACAAGTCATTGCCAAGTTCTGCCTTAATTTGTTTTAGAGGTAGGGTATTGTTTTTTCAAAGTTGTACCTGTTGGGCTTGAAGATTTTTGATTGGTTGTGTTTTTGTCCATCAGACTATATAAAAGGATGCAACTGTAAAAAAAAAAAAAAATCATCATACATATGCCTCTTAGCAGGTAAGAACTATCCATTCTGGGATTATGTATGTTAGCAATAATGCATTTATGTTATTCAGATAATGTACATTTAAAGTGTTTCTGTTACTGAAACAAAGATTTCTGTCTTTCAGCCATGGGGACCCTGTTGCTGCTTTGTGCTTTGGGGGCTTTATTCAGCTGTAAGTATATTTTGTCATACTCTAATTTCTTTTTTTATTTTATTTGGCAGAATGTTACTCATTTTCATTTCAATGTGATATATCTGCGCTTGTCAATTTGTCACGATTTTAAGCTTGAACTGAAAAAAAAACACAGCAACGAAAATTAAAAAATTAAGGAATAAAATAAAAAATCCTGCCAACCATTAACAACTATTAAATCTGACTAAACTTAGCTCGATGAATTAATCACAGCAGCTTGGCTCAGAATTCCCCAGCAGGACAAGTGATCGGCTAATTTGAAACAATTTATCCAGGTTGCCAACCCCATCAGTTGAGAGAATTGTTGTGTGGCCGTACAGGTGTTTGTGAGAATGAAGCAGAATGTTAAACAGGTGAAGAATTTGAGAGTGTAGCACATAAAGGATAGCCATCTAAATTGAAATTTGCTTTTGTTGAGAATAGCATTTACCTTCTGCTGCCATTGAGTTGGAACTATTATACTGAATGGGTGAAACAGGAGTGTAATCTAAATCCCCCAGGCCCTGACTGAGCCCAGAAAATGTTCTTTTCACAGCAAAGGCACAGATATTGATAATATTTTCATTATGCAATTATATTGTCTGCGCAAGTGACTTATTGAGTGCTGCTGAGAAGCAGTCAAGTGACTATTCCTCAGTCTAAATCTCTCACAATGGTTATCAAGGAAAAAAAGCAATCCATCCATTATAGACTAGCATTCATCCCTGCTTTTTAACTTTAAAATGAAGGTATTTTTCAGTCACTTTCTTTGTCATATTGTTTCTTTGTACTGTGCATGTGATCCAAGAAGTCTCAAGCATAGTTCTGCATTCTGTGAATCCTTTGATTGCCTTGGCACAAATAGTCTAATTTATTACCCAATGCCTTTTTGACATGTTTTCTTCATACACGAAATTTGTGAAGCACAGTTTTGTACCTGACTATTTCATTTTAGGTAACTTGAAAAGATGTCTTCTTTTGACATGTGTTTTTCTGTCTGTTTGCTTGCTCTTTTCCTCCATCTGTCAGGTCCATCTAGCGCTGGATGGGCAGGGAGGGAGTTTGTCTTGTCATTCATGCAGAATTATGCTCCTAACTACGACAGTCCTCGCTTTCAGCTCTACATCACAGCTGTTCAGGCCAATGCTAAAGTGACAGTGCAAGTTCCTCCTATAAACTTCAAGCAAGAGAAAACTCTAAATGCTGGAGAGACAGTCACCATCAGTCTCCCCACTAGTATTGAGATGTACGGCAGCAAGAAATCTCCCAACACAGTGCGCATTGAAGCCTCGGCTGATGTGACCGTAACTTCCTTCAACTACAAGCTGTACACAGCAGACACCTCTGTGGTGTATCCCACCACTGAATGGGGCACAGAATATTTCATCTTTACACCTGCTGGAACCCCTTATGGCTCCTATAAAGAGTTCTCTGTGACAAATGGGAAAGAGAGCAACGAAGTGGAGATTTTCCCTCAAGGCCCAATCAAGTTCCAGGGTCGTGTCTATAGGCAAGGCAACCGAATGGTACTAGATCTCCAACCGTATGAAAGTGTCCAGCTCCAGAGCGTGTATGAACTTTCTGGCACCAGAGTCGCCTCTCAGCGCCCTGTTGCTGTAGTCTCGGGTCACACGTGCACCTGGCGCTTCTCGAAATGTAATCACGTTTATGAGCAGCTACTGCCAGTAAGCAGATGGGGATCCAGCTTCGTTGTGCCTCCCCTGAGCTTCCAGAAGAGATATGACAGTGTCTACATCCAGGCCTCCCAGCCCACCCGAGTCACTGTCCAATACAGCAACCGCAAAAATGTCCTGAGTCTGACCAGGGGGCAAGTAATAGAGCTCCGCTACCATGATCCTGAAACACTGTCCATTCAGGCTGATCATGGCATCCAGGTCCTCTTGCTTTTCAACGGTGTCGCACGGAGCTGGCTCAAATTCTATGACCCTTTCTTGATGACCATCCTGCCCACAGACCGTTTCTGCTCCTCTTACTCTCTAGAGGCTCTGAAGGGCTTTGAAAACCAAGCCCTGATTGTGGCACAGACCAGTGCAATGGCAGAGTTGCGTATTGATGGTACGAACTTGCCCCGTGGTGTCCAGTGGAAAAAGGTTCCAGGGACAGATTTCTCCTGGGCGCATATGCCCTACAAACAAACACCTGGCAACAATCGACACACACTGTCCAGCTCTGGTTCCCGCTTTGGTCTCTACAGTTTGGGAGTCAGCCAGATGAATGGTTATGGTTCCCCAGGACAATGTATCCAGCCAGGTAAGGTGCACAGATAGCTCTTAAAGAATTGTGATGGACAGCATATTTTCTAGAGAGATATTATACATTACACATAACTCAACTGTAATGATGTGGTCATTAATTGTATATTCTATATGGTTTTCCAGGAAGTGGATCTTTGTCCTGCAGCACTATCACCTGCAGTGCCAGTGAGGTGTGTGAAATGAGGGGTGGGTATCCCTCATGTGTCCCCAAGCCAGGGGAGCGCAAACCTGGTACCTGCACAGCCATGGGAGATCCTCATTACCGTACCTTTGACGGGCGACATTATAACTTCATGGGTACCTGCACATATGTTATTGCTAAAAACTGTGGAAAGGATGATCTCCCAGCCTTTGAGGTCGTCGCCCAGAATGAGAACAGAGGAAATCTCAGGGTTTCATATGTCGCCCTGGTCACAGTGAAGGTGTATGGCGTCACCATCACAATAGCTCGGTCTGAGACAGGTCGTGTAAGGGTAAGGATTCCTATTTCTGTTAGTAAGCAATTGCTGCATCTTCAAATGTCCATGTTTTAAATATTATCCTGACTTCAATTTATCATGAATGTTAGTTTTAATTATTTCTTCTTGTGACTATTACTGTAATATCTTCTAAACATATTTTCTGTTTTAATTTTGCAATACAGATTGACAATAGTCTGTGGGGTTTGCCAGTATTCTTGAACAACAACAAACTAGTTATGTTTCAGAGCGGCCGCTCTGTCGTCATTGAGACTGATTTTGGTCTGACTGTCCGTTATGACTGGGAACACTATCTTGTGATCAATCTGTCTGGCAGTTACGCGGGTAAGACTTGTGGTCTCTGTGGCAACTTCAATGGCAACCCCAGAGATGATTTCACCACACCCTCCGGCACCCAGGCAGGTGGGGCTGTGGCCTTTGGAAGCAGCTGGAAGGTGCCAGGGCTGGTGAAAGATGCTCTGTGCAGAGATGACTGTGTGGGTGGCTGTGAGCGCTGCGAACACAGCCTGATGAAGATGTGGGAGGGTAACTTGTTTTGTGGGCTCATCACACTTATAATAAATGGCCCATTCAGCAAATGTCATGCCGTCATTGACCCACAAGCATACCTGGAGAACTGTAAATATGATGTATGCATGGGAGGCGGCCTTCGACATTTCCTCTGCAGGGCTCTGGAGGCTTACACTGAAGCCTGCCAGCTTGCTGGGATCCAGGTCCAAGACTGGAGGAGGATTGCACGATGCCGTAAGTAACATTAACTAAATCAGAATCAGCTTTATTTGCCAAGTATGTGAACAAATACAAGGAATTTGACTAAGGTTTTTTCATTATCCTCAATGTACTTACACAAGAACAATTTACTGGAAGATAGAAATAGACAGCTACAGCTAAAAACAAGGACAGCAAAGCTGAACAAATATAGGTAGAAAAAAATAAACAGTACTATTATAAAACAAAACAAATTAATGTGTATATATATGAATACATATAAAAATAGAGATGTAGATTGTAAACAAATACAAATAGGAATAAATATGGAATGGGTAAAATACTAGATTACCCTGTATACATGAAGTGGGTGGTTATGTACAGTATACAATATTTATAGATGTATGATACATAAATGTTAAAGAATAGTGTGTATATGAATCTATAAACATATAATTTATAATTAAACCAAAATGAATTGTCAATTTAACATACTTTTTTGTTGTTTTTTTGTTTGTTGTTCCTCATATTTACAGTATAACACTGTATTGTATTTCTTATCCCTAAAGCTACTGACTGTCCAGCCAACAGCCACTATGAGCTTTGTGGCAATGCCTGTCCTGCCACTTGTTTTGACCCTAATGCTCCTTCCAAATGCAAACGCCGCTGTGTGGAGACCTGCACCTGTAACGCAGGCTTTGTTCTGAGCGGAAGCCAGTGTGTGCCCGCTGCCCAGTGTGGATGTACGTACGAGGGTCGATACATCCCTGCTGGGGAGTCATTCTGGGCTGACCAGGGCTGCCGGCGACTGTGTAAATGCGTAGCTGGAAGCAGACGGGTGGAGTGCCAGGATAAAGGCTGTGGGGCAGGGCAGCAGTGCCAAGTGGTTGAGGGCATAAGGAAGTGCCAAGCAATCTCCCACAGCACTTGCCAGGCCACCGGTGACCCCCATTACGTGACCTTTGACAAGAGGAAGTTTAACTTCCAGGGCACATGTGTGTACCAACTGGTTGCACTTTGCTCCAAGAACCCAGATTTGGTGCCCTTTGAAGTGTTGGTGCAGAATGATCACCGGGGCAGCAAGGTGGTTTCCTACACCAAATTAGTGGAGATCAAGGTGTCCTCCCTCAGCATTGTCATTTCAAAGACCTACAAGGGCATGATTATGGTAAGAATATATGTTTATATCAACAGTTATCTTTCCTGTGAGTCACTTTAATATTCAGTTTATATAAATACAATTGTGTGTTCTTCTCAAGGTGAATAATGAGCTGGTCAACCTGCCTGTAACCCTGGATGGAGGGCAGATATCTGTGTATAAGAGCGGCTGGTACGCTGTAGTTACCACTAACTTTGGCCTCAAAGTGTCCTTCAACTGGGAAAGTGCAGTTTTTGTAACACTGCCAAGCAACTACATGGGAGCCGTTTGTGGCCTCTGTGGCAACTATAACGGCAAACCTCAAGATGACCTGATTCCAAAGAATGGTGGCAAACCTGTCTCACCAAAAGATTTTGGTACCAGCTGGCGAGTGGCAGAGATCCCAGGCTGTGTTGAAGGCTGTAAAGGGGTGTGTCCTGATTGTGACATTACCCAGAAGGTTCAGTACGAAAAAGGAGATTTCTGTGGTATTTTGACAGACCCCAAAGGTCCGTTCCGTGATTGCCATGCCAAGGTGGACCCAGCTGGCTACTTTGAAGATTGTGTTTATGATGTGTGCCTGTATAAGGGCAGAAAGGATGTGCTCTGTCAGGCTATTACATCGTACACCTCTGCCTGCCAGGCTGCGGGAGCCAAAGTGTACAGCTGGAGAACCAGTCAGTTCTGTGGTGAGAAATGCATTCATTTAACAAAAAATAAATAAAATCCTTTACATAAAAGGCAAAGTGAGCATTTCATTTTCTTTTTTAATGTATACTTCAATGTGTGTTTCTTCCCTTCCTGGGATTTTATGTGGCTTTGTAATCACTGCACTCTGAATTAAAATGTGTCCAGTGGGTGAAAAAAACATTCACATTGTCTTTTATGTCCCTTGTCCACAGCGGTGAAATGTCCAGTCCATAGCCACTATGAAGTCTGTGCAATGGCCTGTCCTGCCTCATGCAAGAGCTTGATCCCTCCTCAAGGATGCCAGGCTCAGTGTGAGGAGGGATGTTCCTGTGATGAAGGGTACATCCTCAGTGGAGATCTCTGTGTTCCCTTCTCAGAGTGCGGCTGCCTCCACGAAGGTCGCTACTACCGCATCGGCCAAGTGTTTTATCCTAATGGACAGTGTCAGGAGGAATGCAAGTGCACACAAGATGGAGAGGTAATAAATACTATAAGTAGACATTTTACTGATCAGTGTGCAATATAGAAATAATATTTGGGGATTTTATAACACTTCTCTTGTTTCTTAACTGTCTTTCTCAGGTTGAGTGCAAGAAGTTTGCATGTGGCCCAAATGAGAAGTGTAAAATAGAGAATGGCGTCCAAAAATGTCACCCTGTTGGTAAGGGTGTGTGCCATGCCTCTGGTGACCCCCATTACAGCTCTTATGATGGGCGAAAATTTGATTTCCAGGGCACCTGCACCTACACACTCTCTGAGAGCTGTGGGCTGGAAGGCACCAACCTGGTAGCCTTTTCTGTTCAGGTGGAGAACGTGCAGTGGAACCAGATAAGGAACAAAGTGGTGTCCGTCACTAAACTGGTTGCTGTGGAAGTCTACGGCTTCACAATCATCATGAGGAACAACATGTTTGGGGTCCTGGTGAGTGACAACACTTGGTCTTCATTTGACCCAAGCTCCATATTTGGAATACAATAAAATCTGTTGCATGTGTTAGGTGGTGGCAGATGTGAGAAATGGCTGAGAGATGTAAAATTAACTTGACATATATATTAATTTTTTCATATAACATTCTTTCTTTTATTTAAATAACACTTGTGCCTGTCTTTTAGGTAAATGGAGTGTTTAACTACCTTCCTCTGAATCTTAATGATGGAGCAGTGCAAATCTATCAAGAAGGCATACATTATGTTATTGCAACAAATTTTGGACTGCTTGTCACTTATGACCTGGTCTATCATGTGACAGTCACAGTACCTGGTAATTACCGCGGTAAGGTCTGTGGCCTGTGTGGCAACTACAACGGCGATCAAAAAGACGACTTCCAAATGCCCAACCGTAAGCTCACCAACAACGTGAATGCGTTTGGAAAATCATGGAAGGTCACCATCCCTAATGTGGTGTGTGGAAATGGCTGTGAAGGGAATAACTGTCCTGACTGTGAACCGGCTCGCAAGGCTGTGTTTTCAAAGACCACTTACTGTGGTATTGTTACAGCACCCAAAGGTCCTTTTGCAGACTGCCATAGTAAATTGAACCCACAGCCATACTTTGATGACTGTGTGTTTGATCTGTGTGCCTCCAACGGTGATGGAAAGGTGCTGTGTAACAGCGTAGCAGCATATGCCTTCAACTGTCACATGGCAGGAGTGGATGTCAAAAACTGGAGGACGGCTTCATTCTGTCGTGAGTAATGAAGAGAAATTAACTTTTTTGTTTTTCCTTCAAATCCACCTCTTATCCATACTGTAATAATATTGTTTTTATTAAATATAAGAGCGTGCTCTAATACCTTTCCCCTGTCTGATCATTTATTTCAGCCATGAAATGCCCAGCCAACAGTCACTATGAGGTGTGTGCAGACCCCTGCTCTGCATCCTGCCAGGGCCTCACAGAGATTGTCCAGTGCTCCAGCAGCTGTATAGAAGGCTGTGAATGTGACGATGGCTTCTTATTCAATGGACAAATGTGTGTTCAAGAGTCTCAGTGTGGCTGCTATGAGAATGGAAAAACTTACAAGGTACAATTCAATACCTTTGTCTATACACAAAAGCCTTTCCATGCACAGTAATGTACAAATGATAGCTTGTTAGTGTCTTGAGCAAATACCTATAACAACATTCATGCTGACATGGCAGTAAAGTTTTTCAAAGTTGTGGACCAGTCTGATGTTAGATGTGTGCACTGAGGATTTCTCCTGAGACTTAATTAGCAGATTGTCTAAAATCTGTGGGTTTTTTTTTTGGATGAGATGGAATAAGAATGAGATGATGTGGACTCCTGTTTAACCTGTCATGTCCACTGTGTAAAATATCCCCCTGCATAATGAACCTGCTCTGTGTCCCCAGCCTGGTGAAGTGGTGTATGAGAAAGACTGTGACACAAAGTGCACCTGTAATCCAGCGACAGGCCTTGTCTGTGAAAAGCATTCATGCCCTCAAAGCACCAAATGCATGGTCAAGAAAGGAATCAGGGCATGCTACAACACAGGCAAGACACGGATTCTGTATATTTGTATCAACCAGTTTTAACAATTTTTAATTTATTAACTGAGTAAATAGTCTTTCAAATAAATGAACAGCCAATTTTAAATTTGTTTTAATAAACTCCGCTTATCTTTTTTATTTCCCACCTTTGTTTGTCTTGAGTAGATCCCTGCAAAGATGCCAAGTGTCGGGTCAAAGAGAAGTGCCGTGTTGAGAAAGGAGAAGCTGTGTGCGTCCCTGAGTACACAGGCGTCTGCTGGGCCTGGGGTGACCCCCACTATCACACTTTTGACGGTTACAACTATGACTTCCAGGGCACGTGCAAATACGTCATCTCCAAGACATGCGGGAGTCTGGATGGTCTAGTGCCGTTCTTAATCACTGAGAGGAATGATAACCGTGGAAACACAGCAGTTTCTTACGTCAGGGAGGTAGATGTGTCTGTGTACGGGTACACCATCACCATCCGCAAGAACCAAGTTGGTCGAGTCACGGTAAAGATTTTATTTTATTTTTTCTGATCTGGCTGACCTGTAGTATTTGAGTGTGTATATAACATAAATCATTCTGATCTGTTCAGGTGGATGGTGAGCTGTTGAATCTACCTGTGCAACTGGGTGAGGGTGAGGTGTCAGTGCTTCAGCGTGGTCACACTGCAGTGGTAGAGACAAACTTTGGCCTGGTTGTCTCCTACGATTGGAACTGGGAGTTTATCATCAGGCTGCCCAGCAGCTACTACGGCAGTGTCTGTGGTCTATGTGGCAACTTCAACGGCAACAGCCGCGATGAGCTGCAGAATCCAGCTGGCAAAGCTGTCTCCTCAGTGATAGAGTGGGGCAAGAGCTGGCAAACGCCTGACCAGGACAAAGACCATCCTTGCTGGGACACATGTGTGAAAAACTGTCCTACCTGTGACGGTAGCCAGGTTAAGCTCTATGAGACTGAGGCTTCCTGTGGGGCCCTTGCAGCCAAGACCCATGGTGTGTTCCAGAAATGTCATGGAAAATTGGACCCCCAGGCCTTCATGAACAGCTGTGTGTATGATATGTGTTTGAATAAGGGAGACAAAAAGATGCTGTGCCAGGCATTGGCCTCCTACAGTAAGCAATGTCGTGAGGAAGGAATAATAATCAAGGGGTGGAGGAAAATGTTTGGCTGCCGTGAGTATTTACAAGAAGCTCATTTTAATCAAAGATATCAAATAAACATTTATGTTTTTGTTTAATGCCTTTTTAAATGTAATTTCTATCCAGCGATGAACTGTCAGCGTCACAGCCACTATGAAGACTGTGCCAGCCCATGCCAGCCATCCTGCCCATTCCCTGAGCAAAAGCAAACCTGCAATGGTGTCTGTGTGGAGAGCTGTGTGTGTGATAAGGGCTACGTCCTCAGCGCTGGTGTCTGTGTGCCTGCTAAAACATGCGGTTGCTCCTATCAGGGCCGCTACTACAAGCCAGGTCAACACTTTTGGGATGATGAGACTTGCGGCCGCCTATGCGAGTGTGATGCGACGCTGGGCATGGTGACATGCCGCGAGGCTTCCTGCTCTGCCAACGAGAGGTGCACCATAGTGGACGGGGAGCGTGCCTGCCGACCCATCAGTCACGCCACTTGCTCGGCCTCAGGTGACCCACACTACCGGACTTTTGATGGCCGCAGGTATGACTTCCAGGGCACATGTGTATATCAGCTGGTGGGACTGTGCTCTCAGAAGACTGGGCTTGTGCCTTTCAAGGTGACTGTGCAGAACGACCACCGAGGAAGCAAGGCTGTGTCCTACACAAGGACTGTCACGCTTACCATATATGGCATCACCCTTACCATCAGCAGAGAATACCCCTACAGGGTCCTGGTAAGTATGGGTGTGGAGGTATGGATAAAGGCAGCATATGGGTGATTTGATAAAAGAAACACTTACTGCCATGTGGATTTTTGGCGAGAAAAGAAATGGGACACAGCATCTAGTTACAGTATTAAAAATAAAAAGAAGATACCCCTCATTCAAATGAGTGGATGATAATGCCTTCTGTCATTGTGCTATTTCTGACAACCCTCATGCTCTTCTGCATATATATTTAATTGCATATTAAAATTTTGATCCAGGCAGACTTAATTAAACTAAGATTTAACTGCACATTAGAATGGATTAGCAAGGACGGCAGAATTATTAAATCTATAATCTCCTAAAAATATTCCTCCCTCCCTCATTTTCTGCTCTTCAGCTCAATGGGCAGCTTGCTTCGTTACCACTGGTTTACAATAATGAGCTGCTCGTGTTTCTCAGCGGCTGGACAGCTGTAGTGGAGACAGTTGCTGGTATCACCGTGACCTTTGACTGGCGGAGCACAGTGAGCGTTACTCTGCCCAGCAACTATCAGGGCGCAGTCTGCGGACTGTGTGGCAACTACAATGGTAAAGCTCAGGATGACCTGACCATGCCGAACGGCCAGACTGCCAATAATGGAGCCAAGCTGGGGGAGAGCTGGCAGGTGGCCCTCGTACCAGGCTGTTCATCAGTCTGCCAAGGGGCATGGTGCCAGGCCTGTTCAGAATCCCAGAGGAAAGAGTACCAAGCCCAGAAATACTGTGGTATTATCGCTGACAAGGCAGGGCCTTTCAGAGATTGTCACATGCGTGTGGACCCTGCTCCTTACCTGGAGGACTGTGTGTATGATGCCTGTCACTATCATGGCCATCATGAATCAGTCTGTGATGCCGTGGGAGTCTATGTCTCTGCCTGTCAGAGCCTAGGAATCACCATCCACTCCTGGAGAAGAGATAATTTCTGTTGTGAGTTTGAGATTGTGTTTTCATTTTTTAAAATTCATTTTTGATGCTTAAAATCTCTTATTTCACAATGTAATTTACCTTGTTCCTCTCTCTCTGTTCTCATCCTATCCAACAGCAATGGTGTGTCCAGCTAATAGCCACTATACTCTATGTGCTACGGGTTGCCCAGCCACCTGTGCCAGTTTAATCTCCCTTACCACGTGCCGCAGGCCCTGTACAGAAGGCTGTGAGTGTGACGAGGGCTTCTTGCTGAGTGGGGATACCTGCGTGCCTGTGAGAGACTGTGGCTGCTCCTATGATGGTCAATACTACAAGAAAGGCGACGTCTTCTACCCTGAAACCCAGTGTGTTGAGCAATGCGTCTGTGGAGAGAATGGCGCAGTGTCTTGCCAAAAGGCCAAGTGCCGGCCAGGGGAGACCTGTAAGCTTGTAAATGGAATGAAAAGCTGCCATCCTGAGGGGCAAGGCAAGTGTGTGGCTTCCGGTGACCCTCATTACATTTCCTTTGATGGCCGGAGGTTTGATTTCCAGGGTACCTGTGTCTATGTATTGGCCAAGGTTTGTGATGATGACAAGGGCTATCTGACGCCATTCACTGTAACTCAGGGGAATGAGAAGTATGGAAATGGAAAAGTGGCTGTCACCAAGTCGGTTGCTGTGGCGGTCTATGGTTTTGTCATTCACATCCAGCAGGGAATGCCATGGAAAGTCATTGTGAGTTCAACAACTTCATCCAAAACACTTGTGTGGCTCTATTTGTCCGTGTTTACATTTTTCCTCACAATGACTCTGTTCTCCTTCCTCCTCTGTCCAGGTGGATGATGAACTCCTGAACCTTCCTCTCTCACTGGACAATGGACGTCTGAGAGTCACCCAGGAAGGTCGCAACATAATTGTCCGGACAGACTTTGGACTGATAGTTCTGTATGACACAGTCTATTATGTTGAGGTGATCGTACCTTCTACATACCAGGGTAAGATGTGTGGTCTTTGCGGCAACTACAACAAGAAGGGTGGCGACGACTTCATACTTCCTGGTGGCAGACAGACAAAGAACGTCGATGACTTTGGGAAGGCGTGGGTGGTGGACCTGCCTGGGCATGTGTGTGGGGGCTGTGGAGGCCAGTGTCCAGTATGTGAGCAGGCCAAGGCCACCATGTATGGAAAACCGGACTCTTGTGGCATCATGAGTGCACCTAATGGGCCTTTCAAAGCCTGCCACAGTAAAATTGACCCAGCAGCATATGTGTCTAATTGTGTGTTTGATGTTTGTGCTTTGGGTGGCGACAAAGACACCCTTTGTAACAGTGTGCAGGCCTATGCTTTGGCCTGCCAGAGCGCAGGAGTGAAACTACAGCCATGGCGGAGCGCCTCTTTCTGCCGTGAGTTATGCACAACAGTACTTTAACTGAATAAATGTCCATGTTTTTTATATTTTATATTTCACGTACACATACAAAGTCTTACAAATGTCTTATTCTCTTGTAGCTGCTTCCTGCCCTCCACACAGTCACTATGAGATGTGTGCCGACACCTGTAGCGGGACCTGTGCCAGTTTTATTTTCCCATTTACTTGTTCTGAAAGCTGTTTTGAAGGATGCCAATGTGATGCCGGCTTTGTTTTTGATGGCATCCAGTGTGTTCCTTTGGACAACTGTGGGTGTGTGCACAATGGCAGATATCTGACGGTAAAACAGAGATTCTACTTTGTTGTCATACATAGTAACTGTGCTACAAATGAAATGACAAAATAGTTATCATAGAAAAATGACTAATACTTTCTATTCCTGTCATGGCTTTTAAATAAATTGAGATGTAAAAGAAGTAAAAATTATTTTAATGTTATGCATAATCTATGTTTACAGGTGGACCAAACAGTTGTGGACAAAGATTGTAACTCCAAGTGTGTGTGTCAGGCCTCTGGGCTGGTGAAGTGTGAAAAGCTGTCCTGTGCCAGTGGAGAAGTTTGTGGTGTAAGAGAGGGGGTCAGGGGTTGCCACATCAAAAGGGGCCACTGCAGTGTCAGCCAAGTCGGCCACCTCACATCCTTTGACGGCATGTCTGGAGCTATAGGCGCTAAAGGGGCATTTGAAGTGGCGTCTCTGTGTGACGAGACTGCTAAGCTGTGGTTCCGTGTAGTTGTGGACGTTAGGGTCTGCAGTAGAGGTGCGTCTCCCACTGTAGCCACCGTGTATGTGTTCTTCAAGGAAACCACCGTCGCAGTGAACAGCCAACACGTGACCTGGGTGAGAAGAGCTGGGAGGGATATAGAATAGTTCAGTGTTTAATCATGAAAGTAATCATTTTGATGTAGAAATATTTTTTATCTCAATTGATTTTGTTTTTCATCTTCTTCAGGTAAATGGCAGGAAAGTGTCTCTTCCCAGCAAAGTGACGAGTGATGTATCCGTCCAAATCTCAGAAAGGACTGTGATCATTGAGAGGGCATCTGCTGTGCGGGTCACCTACTCAATTTCACAGGAGGTCACCGTCATTATTGACAGTAGCCTGTCCGGTAAAGTGTGTGGTGCCTGTGGCAACTACAATAACAACTCCAAAGATGATATGAAGACAGCAGATGGAAAAATCACCACTGATGTGTCTGTGATTGTCGGCTCCTGGAGCGCTGGGGATTTTTCTAGATGGTGAGTATTTGAAAGGTATACTGCAACATTTCCTCTGTATGAATGTAATGGGCAATGATACATTGCTACATTTAGTGTTATGATAATGATAGTCCTCTTCTTCGCCACACACTCTCTCATCACATTGTTCCCGAACCCCCGATGTTAACTTTAATTGTTTTAATAACATAACGACTATGCCTCTTCGTCTACGCTTTTAACCTTCAATTCCAGTTAGCGTGGAAGTTTTAATCTTGAACTCCATCTTGCCCTTTATTATGCAAACTGCAAACTTAATTTGACCACTGAAATAATCGAGCACAGATCAGCGAGAGATGGGACAGTGTTATGACCATTCAACCGCTTATTCTCTTAACAGCAAGAACTAAACAAGGACTCCACAGAGCCCTTTTAAAGGAATGAGAGTGTGGTTTTTAATTGCATTTGGTCCAATTTAATTAAGAAATGCCAGAGAATCCCCTATGGTAATTACTGATTAAAAAGCAGGTGAGGCTGACAGGCATGGCCATCAAAAGCTACCAAGCTTGCAATCCAATCACTGCTTGTCATCCAAGGACACTTAAGACTCATCTGGGTGCAATATTAATTTGAGCCCTCATCTTTAGTTCTGTGTTCTAGCCTTAAGTCCATCCCTTGGAGAATAGAGTTTTGTGTATCCCCCTTCCTATCTTCATTCAAAGTAATTGTCTTTTTACAGGCATTTTCTCATCACCAGACCCTGAAAAACACAAGAAAATGCCCCTAAGAATCAGTGCTGTTCTTGAGTGTTTGCATATGCCTTCAAAATACAAAATACAATTTTCAAAGGTGTTGCTTGTAATCTCTGTTGTGCCTGAGCGAACATGACTTTACTTTGCTCCAGTGCCCTTTGACTGCAATTTTTTTTTCTTTTTAATTTCAGCGGCCTGTAGAGATGTTGGCTCTGCTGCGATAGAAAGCATCTGGTCTTCAGGTAAAAAAAAAAAAATTAAAAATTAAGTTGTTTCCTCTTAAAACTATGAACTGACATTTCCTCGTGAATGAAGCTGCTGTACAATGTGGCTAACATCCCTGCTTTTTTACCCCCATTAAACAGGATGAAGAACAATGTGAAGTCGTTCAGCTACAGTTGCTTATTTACAGCCAGTTTCACTCATCACACTTCAGTACTTCCTCTTGATTCATGAAATGGTTTTGGTTGTTTACTGGTGGTCTGGTCCTCTATTGTTAATCTTGGAGCGATAGAAAAACCTCGCTCACTCTTGACCAACACCTCCATCTAGTGGAGGAAGGAATTACAGCACCTCTAGTCTTCTCTTACCCTGTACCTGCCTTATTATACTTGCTTAGTTTTAAAAAAATATGTTCTACAAAATGTGTTCCCCTTACTGTTCTGAGCAATAAATACATTTTAATTAAACTGTGTGATAGTTATTTGTACTTGTAGAGCACTTTTAGTAAAAACAAATAAAAACAAATGACTCTTAAATGTCCTGAATCTTGCACAGCTGGCGACAGAAGGAATCCAGTGTACACTTCTTGTTTTATCAAGAAAACTATCTGCGCTAAAGGTCCTCAGTGTGGGAGGGAAAAATAAAGTAGTTGCCACAATAACAAAATTCCACAAATATCTACAGCTTACCAACCACAACAGAAGATAGACAGGGTAGATAACACCCTGGATATCATAGTCTGACTCAAACATATTGACATATCAGTCCACCCAGCTCTGTATTTGCTAGTAGAGGGGCCAAAACTTGGTGTGTGGGAGAGACTTTGGGAGGACAGTTTTTAAATAGCTGAGAGAAAACTAAATCTCACTGACCTACTGCACTGCCCATGAAAGCACACTAGTGTTTAAGCTCCCCCCCCCAATGCACTGAGCCACTCTCTCTCCAAAGCACTGTAAATTACACCACAATCTCCCAGTTCTGTGTGTCTCTTAGAGCTGGATGTGGGAGGGGAAATGAGCATGATTTACAGGTCATTATAAAAAGCATGTTTTATGATCAGTCCTGGCACCAAACACGATTTTGGGGAGTAACTTCAGTGGTTGGGCTCCCACACCAGCTCCCCCCTCCCTCTCTCTCTCTCTCTCTCTCTCTCTCTCTCTCTCTCTCTCTCTCTCTCCCTCATTCCAGAGCCTAGACCAAGAAGGAGCAGACCTTTACAGCCGAGTACCACCAGAAGAACCTCCACAGAATGCAACACTAAATAAACGCGTTTTAATTCTCTCTTTGGACATAAAAAGGGAAAGTTTGGCATTTAATATATTATCTCTCTCTCTCTCTCTCTCTCTCCCGGCTGGAGCAACAAGTGAGAGAAACTTTTCAGCAAAGTTCGGCTCACTGGGCGGAGAGAAAGTCACTCACATTAGAGTCTATAAAAAGGCTGACACGGTAAGTTCATTTAAATATCAAGATTTGATTTATTAAATTATTAACTTCCTTAAATGTGATTTGCCATATCTTTGCGCATGGAAATGTGAGCAGAAACAAACTAACACATGGAGGTTAAGACCCCCCCTGGAAATACATGTTTTTTGTTTTTTCCCCCCCTTGTTGATCAGTCAGGGGTCCCAACCTCCAATCCCCCGCCCCCACAAACTTTCCAACTAAATCCCTGCGCCAGAGAACATGCGACCACAATTACATAAAGCCACTGCCTGCTTATATCGCTCTCACAGACTCCAACACACAAGCCAAACATGTTTTTGTTTGTTTGTTTTTGTTCATTTATCTTGTGTTGATTTAAAGGGAACCGGTTTTACATTCCCATTGAGTTAGTCCTGGCTGGAGAGCTGTCTGAGAAGTTAAATGGGAGTTTATGGATACAGTTTTAACACTGACAGAGGTGCCAGATTATTGGAGAGAACTCAGGATGACTATTCAGAATTACTTAACCTGGTCAAATGTGTTCTGGGAGCACCAATCGGAAGAAGAAAGCCACTCGCACTGACTTGCTGATTTGTATGATTGCGTTCCCATATGGCCTCACGTGTAAGGGTTAATGTAAGCAACCCCCACAATACAAACTGTCCATGTTACTCCCACTTTATTACAATCCATGGTAATTATTTTTTCTCTCCTGTCTCCCCATTATATTCCTCTACACTATTCATAAAACTAACAAACAAGATTATTGGATTGGTTCTTGTTAGAATAATTCACCCTGTATTTGTTTGATTAAACCTGATTGGCAGCCCTTTGTTGTTAATCCTGCTCCCAGGGTTGAAGTGTTCATTTCTCTCCACTCCAGCTCCATGTTCACACCCCCACTTTAGTCATGCATGAGTCTCCAGCAGTGATCTGGGCCAGGGAGTGGAACCATGGCTCTGCTAACATAAGCTTTGATCTTTGCAATGCACAAAAATGTATTCCATGCCTTAGATTTTCAGTGTAGAGCCATGTGTAACTCCATTACATTTCTGTTGTCGTTTTCTTGGGATCTTATTGGTATAATGTGGCTGGGAAGCTAACAACACTGTGACCACTGTGCTCTTTGGTCATGCAGTGCCCTTTTTAATTGTGGACCTTCTGCAACTCTTGAGTCCAATCATGAGTGACAGTCTGGTTGTGGCACCGTAGCCTGTAAACATACGTGTGTAAGAGAATATCAAAGTATGTTCTAGATAATATATAGACACAAAAAACACCCCCCGGGGCGTTGGTGCTCCAAACTAGATGACCCAGCAAAACCAATCCAAACCCACTGACCAAATATCACATGCAACTCAACACCAGCCTTGCATCCCTCCACTGCCAAGCCCCATGTGCTGAGCCTGAAATAGACCCTCTTCTCTTACCCAGAGTCATATCATTAAGACACATGTCCTGATAAGATAACTGATCCTGTTATGTAGTGTCTAGCCGAGGTGGGGCTTCCCTACCAGGCAGTGACACATTAAAGGGGCACTCCACCAGTTTTAAACTTTAAATTCAGCGTACTCATCATGAGGAGAATCCTGTGAAAACAGTATATAATCCTCTTTGGCTCCAATATTTAGAAGATGACCTTTGTTTTTCCTCCCAGCCAAATGGCTAATGACTGTTCAAATTTTACCAGGCACTCAGTAGAGTACCATTGTTTTTTCTTTGGCTGTTGAGTGAAGAAAATCTACCAGCCACTTGCATATTTTACCAGCATTTGACTGGTGGGTGGTGCTAATTTTGTAAACTGAGCTTGACCTGTACAAGAGACTAAAAGTCAAGATATCTCATCCTCTGCTGCTTTGGTTTCGGCTATTCTTTGAGCTGAAGTGCCCATTTAACAGTGTAATGTTAAACTGCAGTTGAAAACATAGAAACAAATATATAAATAAAGCATTTTCTCTCGTTTCTGACCCCTTACTGTTCTGGGAAACCACAACTAGCCCTAACTAACCATAACTAGCTGTTTGGTAGTTTCTGAGAGGTATTAGAGGTGAATTGCTGAAGATCCTGAAAACAGACTTCTCTCTGTTAGCAAGCCAGTTTCATTTGTTATTTTAGTACAGTTATTTTAGTCTGTAACGAGTTACAAAGTTTATCTGTAAATCACATTAAAAAAAGCCTCAACTTCCTGTCAGCTCAGCACATTACCCTCTTAAAGCAACAATGACTCCACAATGTGAGCACATAGCCTCTACGTGATCAGATTCTCCTTTACTGTTATGTACTTTTCAATAAGGTTCATGTTTCGTACAGGTACAATGGATCTTATGACGTTGGTGGCTTTCAGCTCCTGGCTGGCTCCTGCACTCGGTGAGCATCCTTTTCATTAAACATTCGCTGGCTTTATGTTGTTCTCTCTCTGAAGCTTGACTGCTGTAAGTGTTCAGTTGGTTCTCCTTTTCTGTAGCTTTGGTTTTGTTTAAGTTCCTTCATGCTAAATCAGCTGATGTGTCTGTATAATAGGATCAGCGTTTGGCAGGGAAGTGTTGGGTAAGTTTCCTGCATTAGAGTGGTCACCCGCAATGCATGGACATTTGATTTCTAATTTTGTTGCGTTTCCGCTGCTCACTTATTTGGTATGGCCACTTGCCATGGGTTCAAATGTGTGTAAAATGCCTCGTCCTACTCTTTTGGGTAGAATTTACATTTAATATTTTCCATTTTAAATCATTTCAAGCCAGTGTTTTGCTGTGAGGAAGGCCATGTCAGAATATTGTAAATGTTTCCTTATACTGCAGTGTGAATAATAGTTTATTCAGACTGCTGCCAAGTTTTCCATTGTTAATGCAGGTCCTGGGCTTTAGTTCATTTCTCTGTGTGCTCTGCATGCCATCAGCTGAGCTTGATGTTAAGCAGGATTGCCTGCACTAAAGGTTTTGTTATCTTCTCTGACACTTAGTTCTGTTAGATTCTGACCTTATTTTCAAAGACCTGTCAGCACCAATATGGTAAAATATGCTTTTTCTTCCTAGAGGAAGATACTAATATTAGTATTTACTACCCAATAATGATGTCAAAGTTAACTCATACTCTGCAGCAATGGGCTGTGGAGTGTTTAAAATATGATTCAGGCCAGGGTTTCATCAGTGTCACACTCATTTGTAACAGTTCTTGTCAGACTTTATTGAATCCCATACATCAAGGACACAGCCCTTCTTCTGGGTGTCACTAAAGCATCTGAACTCATGTTGATGAGCTGTTGGAATAAGTTGGAATAGGCAAACTCACACATTACTTTTTACACCATTAACAGATAATTATTTAACTGTATTCAACATCAAGTGTCAAAGTTTAATACAGAAGCACAACTACTAGGTCTGTCTGACATTTAAAAAGCTGTTCACGAAAAATATTTTAATGAGTGCTGTATGAAATAACACATTAATGATGGGAAATTGTTGCCTAGCACACGTATTTATGTAACCTCCAACGTGCTACTTCAAGGTTACATTGTTCTCACTCCTAACAGTGATGCTCATGTAAACAATGTCTGCTTTGTGTCTTTATTATTCTAGCAAGTGAAGTTGTCTCTTTTAATTATTCTGGTTGTTTGTCACTGAACATAAGGCAGAGATTGTGATAAAGCTTGTTGCCGAGTACAGTATGCTTTCTTGCAAGACGTAAAAAAGGTTGTAGCGTCATGTGAACACAGCCAACATGTTTTTCCACATGGGAGAAGAGACGTGATAGAGCAGAGGGGTCTGACCTTTCCCACATCCGCAACAGCAAAGACACAATTACACAGATTAGAACGATAAAAGAATTACACAGTAAACAAAGTTATGGCGAACAGAATCAGAAATGTCATTGTCATTTTGAACTCTGTTGCACTCCATGTTGGTGGAGAATGTGGCTCTTCTGGAAATTCAGCTAATTAAAAGCAAGTGACACATTCAAAGTAACCCTTATCACATGAGTTAGTGTATGTGGCAGACACACTGTAAGAGATGTTGGGACTTTTGATCCTAAGATTCTTTTGAGGCTTTTTTCTGCAGAATTCACTATTCACAAGTTATTCATTCTTACAAGATTATAACGCTTTTACATATATCCAGACTACCATCTATTTTGGCATTTGGCTGCCATGCACTTACACCACCATGTGAATGTCTTATAAAGACTAATGATTTTGCTTATTTTTTCACAGCTTCAGCGGCAGTCGCAGATAAGGACAAAGGTGGGTATTCTTTGAACAGAAGCTTAGAAAAGTCAAATTAAGATAAGCTGCATACTCGTCTTAGCCGGCATATAAATTGGTACTGGCACTGAACTGGCTAATGACTAGATGAATGACTGAAGCCCTAAAACTGCTGAATAGCTGTCACATCATGAGTACTCTCTGAAGCGTGTCAGTGGGTAAATCTGCTTCTCATTTGTTTCCTCTCTCTGTTCTCTCCTACCAGACTATGACAGTGCTTTTCATTACGGTGAGTGTTGAGCAGATGAACGCAGTCTTTTAAAGGCCGACCCGCTACACAGGAAACATCTGGGAGGTTGAGACTAGTTGGCATTTTCCTCCTGTTTTTCCAGAAGTGATGGAAAACTTTCACCCCCAAGGCCAAGCTTCTGGAGCAATCCCACTGCAAATACTTCTAATCCTGTCCACTCTGTTGTAGGCTGGATTTTCAGTCCATCCAAGTGACTCAAAATCTGCATTGATATTTTTTGAATGCCTTCCATCAGTTCTGTACTTGTTATCTTTTACTTTATTTGGGCAATAGGCAAGTTTTTGTAGTGTTCTCCATACCCTTTATCGTACCATTCTAACTACTGTTTATGCCCTTTTGGAAGACCACTAGAGCAGTGGTTCTCAACCTGGGGGGAGGGATCCTAAGATAAATATGAGGGGTCACAAGATATTAACAGGGATAAAAAAGAAAAAAAATATTTCTGTTACACAAAATTCTGTATATTTTCCTCTGACTTTTATTTATTTATCTGTCTTTTTTCTTGTGGAGTTCTGCGGCACACCAGCTGTGTGCTAGTTCAAACTTACGTAAATTATTACTAAATTGTGATTTATACATTACTTTAAAAAAAAAACGGTTGCTCCACGGAGATAAATTACAACTTAACTCTAAGTAACAACTAAATAGTTACACATGCCCCTTAGGTGGTGTAAATAATGAAATGTCACAGAGTTATATTCACTGACGATAAAAGAGCAGTTCTTCTACATCCTTTTTTTCATTAATTGCAGCCATTTTGTGACCCATTACTCAAGGAGAGACTTCAATATCGATCTAGCTTACTACGATGTGCTACAAGTTATGACTTATGTCCAAACTAGTTAAGTTATGCCCTAAGTGACTGTGGTGTAACCAATTTTACTAGCTGATTTAGTTACAAACTAACTTGTAGTTACTAAGCCTCTAGTGTTGACTTTACACCCTAACTAACTTAGGAGAGAACTTCCACATGGATGGTGCAACCCAGTCCTGGATACTTTCAGCTCCTCAGGCCTCTAAAAATCTTTAATTAAACAACCTGAGACAGAAAAATGACTCTTTAGTCAAAATGTTTGCAAATACTTCATCTTGAGGGGTCACAAACCCAAAAGGTTGAGAACCACTGAATTAAAGAATTGTTGAAATAACAAATGTTATTTGTCGTTGGACAGCTATAGGGTAACTTAATCATAATAACTCACCAGATATAAAACAAGCAGACCCTGTCCCCACACTTACTGCTGCCTGATTTTTTTGGGAATTGATGGGAATAGAAACATTTTCTTTGCAATAATTTTACAAGCTAGATTTCTTCTGCACAGTTTCATCCAGTCTTATCGGGACAGACAACTACAGAGTTAAAGTGGACCGTAGTGTTTACACTTTTGGTGACTGCAGCTCACAGGAATTTGTGGTGTCCCAACGTGACCATTAGGGGGCTGCAGAATATTTCTGCAATGAACTAAAGGCCACAAAAGGCTTTTGATTTTATGATGTTTTCTATGACAAAACTTCCATATGTTACCATTCACTTCTGCAAGCACTATAAAGTATGTTTTTTCCTTTCAGATTATGAATCTCTGAGAATCGGTGGCCTGGTTTTTGCAGTGGTTCTGTTCCTCATGGGTATTGCCCTAATTGTCAGTAAGTGTTTGACCACCTTAAATACTCAGCAGATGTGTAATGTTGAGTGTCAGTGTCACCACACCGTGATCCCTGTATGTGTGAGTTGACCTCACAGTCTCCCAAATTCATACGCTGCTGCAATGCTGCAAAACAAGCAGGCTTCTGTCTCTCTCAGACGTCTGGAAGGGAGGCAGCCTTAAGCTTCTTACGCAATCTCAACACTCTCATGATCCATGTATCATGGCAATTTGCCCTTTATACCTTATCCCTCTCCTCACTCACAGTGTCCTTCCAAGGTTCCTCCTCCTACCTGCCAGCACATGCTGTTATTGCCAGTGGTAGCCCTGAAACCAAAACCAACCAATAAATAATTCATGGGAACCCACACACTCTGCCACACTTTCTCTCTGCTTCTGTTAGTCAAGACCAGTGTGGATTCCTAACTGCATTCTAGGAAGAAATATGTGTAGGGCTTCGTTTTAGAAGAAACAGGTTATATGAGTGGTCACAATAACCAACAAAATAAATGCAGCTATTGAATTTGTATTTGAATTTATGAATTGGCTTTGACTGCCAGGGCTGAAAAGAGTAGAGCCTGCTATCACCACTAAATGAAGGTCATTAAATGCACACATTTCACAGTTAAATCAAAGTTATTAATGTTTCAAAAGCATTGAAAATACATATTTTATATTTTTAACTCTATTTTTACACCTGTGAATATACTTAAACTTGATATGGCTTTAAAAGTTGCTGTTTGGCCCTTTAAGCTTTTGACAACAGCAACTTTTGAATTGATGAAAGTATAATATCTGTTTGATTGATAAGCATATGTGCAAGAGTGACGTGAGAAGCCACCAGGGGCAGAGGGAAGCCTTACAAGCAGAGCATAAAACAGAACAAATTAAAGAGCGCATATCCTGAATGTTTATGGGTTGACATTTAAAATATTGCATTTGAAATAAAAAAACAACATGATAGATGACAATAGGCACCCATTGGTGCCTCCTAGTGTCAGTGGGACTGAATAGGATGAGGATTCTCTTTCAGGACGTTTACAGCTTTATTCTTAGTCCTGAGAGTATGTAGGTCATAGTGACTGGGATTTCCCAGTAATTTTTCCTGGAGCACCTAGCAAGTATATTATAATATTAATCTGTATGACACTGCTCAGACTCTATGTGTTGTAAAGAGCCTGTGCGTTAATTATGTTGTGTTATATTATCTCTCTATTATGTTTTTAAGCAAACCAAAGTGGGTTTAAATGATAAGAACAAAGGTTAAATGTTCAAACTTGGACGTCCCCATAATATGGGTGCTACTAGCTGGAAGTTTTTGGGGAAAAGTTAAACAAGTGAATGCTGCAGTGATTTAGATACACGAATATAGACTTGAGCTTGGGCCAAGGAGCTACAATCTTATACGGCCTCCCAAGATGGGCTTATTGGCACAAGCTGGAGAGTGTATTCATGTACATGTCAAGGCCTGGAACAGCCTCTTCCTCTTTTTATACTTAAAGGTGGTGGTGAAGGTACATACATTCTTTATATTATTCCCTATGTTCTTTTTCAACACAAAAAAGTCATAGTTTTAAACACATAACATCCTTTTTCTTGTGTTTCCCAGCCAGAAAATGTACCTGTTCGAGTGACAAGCCAAGGTAAGTCAAAGTCAAATTAAACCAAAAAAGATTGTAAAGAATTGTGTTATGTGTAAAACAAACAACCATACCCCCCACCTTTAAAAATGGTTTGATTCACAAGCCCTTTTATTTGACATTTAGTTGTAAAATTGCTGTGTTTCATTATCTAACTGTTACTTTCCCTCAGGTCCAGAGGTCCAGATGTGGAATCAGGTGTTCCAAAGGGTAAATACTTTTCTTCCTTCTATAATAATAACTAGGAATGCTAAATATCTATCAAGTAGATGCATTGCCTTTTTATTTTTAAACAAAACAGTAACCTGAAACTCTTTCTACAGCTTAGTAGACACAGAGGAAAAGAGCATTGGAGATCTGGTAAGTGTCTTACAAACATTTATTTTCTGCTAAAGGAAGCTGGAAGAGGTTGTTTCAGAGCACATCAAACTCATCTTCCTCCTCTTTTTCTTTGCACAGTGTTACTGACTGTCGCCATTAGGTGGCAGCAAATACTTTGATCACAGCTGACGACAATCTTTCCATGAACACATGAATCTTCCTTCAATTTCATAATGTTACTGTGCTCCTTTTTTTTTCTTTTTTAATGTTTTTATCATCAGTAACTGTTACTCGATAATGTGCCAACTGTATATGGTGGCAATAGTGTTATTGTCATTTGTATTTTTGTGACTTTCAGATTGATAAAAATGAATGCAAAATAATAAAACAAATGTTATAAAAGGTTTATCCCTTTTGTTTTGTGTGTCATTATTTGGCTTTCTCTGCCATTAGAAGTAGACCAGGGAACAGCCCTCTGTTATGTTGCACTTCTGTTTCTGCTGACACTGCAGTCAGTTCAGTTACACATGCAGTAGTAACCAGCAGTGTGAATGATTTATGTGCTGCATTGTGCAGCTCTTGGAGAAGGCTGTCTTTAAAGAAATCCACTTAATTTTTACCTATCTCTGTGTTTCAGTGCTGTTCTTTGGCAGATTTTCCACTGTGGTGAGTCTGCGAATGTAAAAGCTGCATAAGTAGGCTATATTTTCTCCCTGGAGTCGCAGGAGCAGGTTGACTGCACTGCACAAAAGACAACACACGAGACAAAACTGGTGCATTTTCAGCATACAAGCTCATGCTTCTGTTGTAATAAAATAATAAATGTTCAGCGTTATAAGTAAGAAACTAAGAAATATTTGAGCAATACCCACAATCCTTAAATATACTAAATATCTTCTTTTTTCACAGTAAAAAAAAACATCTCTCCCTCACCACACACACCACACAAGACTGTGTAGTACTCAGTAGATTTTGGAATATAGTTTAATTGTCTTGTCTACTTTGCAGTAATATTGCACTAGCTATTTATCCTACCCCCTGTAGTCCACATCCTAGCAGATCTGTCCCCCTGTGGGGAGTACCCCACCATTGTGATTGCAGTGTTTTGCAGTGGCCACCAGAGGGGTTCTTGCTGAGTTTACAGTGAATCTTGTGAAGCAGTTCTGCCACCTATTCTGTCCAGCTATACCCAACCTTAAACTGCAGCAACCTGCTAAATATCTGGGAGACGGAGCTCTTCTACATCTCTAAGTGCAGCCATGTCCACCACAGGTTGGTTTTTTTCTTCTTTTATAGGAGTATTCAGGGTGTAACATACAATAAACAGTTGTAAGTTGAGAAAAATAATACTTGTTTGTTTTATTATATGTGTGATCATTTTGTGATATTTAATTTGTACAAATAAAATGAATTGTTTTATGTGCATACCTATCTTATGTAGTTAATTAGCCTGCTGCATTGTTGCTACTGCTGATGCATGGATCGGTATTCTTTAGCAGACTCCCCACTGGCATGAACAAATAAACAATACTAAAGATGTTTAGCACTTGTTTCTCTTAAACCGATCAGACTTAATGGCACAGAGAAAATGGTGGTAAGAAATACAAACTGCCAGCTCAGCCACTTGGGAGTGAAGGTTCAGTAACATGCAAGCCGCATTATTGACGTCCAGCTATCCTAACAATCTGGCACAGGCTGTAGCCCTGAAACACTTATATTTGCAAAATAAAAGGTTGAAAGTAGGAATCTTTATTAACAGTCTTTCATTAAAAAATGGTTAAAGCCACAGCTGCCATTTCAAGTGGCCCCTTAAACTCCAAATCACCTTTCAAACACTTTATTATTCAAGCTCTGTTCTTTGCTGCTGTGATACCCCTCTATCCTACTGCTGGCTTGTAACCCACTTTTTCATGGTGCATCTTTTTCTGCTGAGCAAAGATGCTGCATTGAGCTCCTCTCAGTGAAAAAAAAAATACTCCTGAGGAGTTGTGGAGCCAAGCCTGCAGATCTGCAAACCCTGCTGTCCATGGTGCTGGATTTAACACACACCCTTAAAGCTTTTGCTGTCCTTGGTGCTGCATTCAATATAACACAGATATTTCTTAGGTTTTTATAACTAACCAGACTCTTTCTTTGCAGAAACAATGTTTCCAGACCGAAGTGACTTTGATTATGGTAAGATTTACGCCATCATTTTTTTTTAAAGCACAGTGTTTAACATCAAATACTGTACTTTTCACTGCAGTATGTTTTAAGTTCATCTTAAACCCCAGTTGGTTTGTTTGGTTAAGTCCCGTACGGTTTTGTCCTTTGTAGATTATGAGACTCTGCGGACCACAGGGGTTATCCTTGCTGTTATTATGTTTGTCTCTGGCATTTTAATAGCCCTGAGTAAGTTTAGACTTTCTGTTCCACATCACTTAAGATACTGCAGCTTTATCACATTTACATAAGCACCTTTACCCTTTTTTAACTAATCTATCATTCCTCAAACAGGTAAAAAATTCACAAAATGTGTAAAATCCTCATCCAAGTAAGATTTGTGCAAGGCTTAATGGATGATCCGCCTGTGCATGCTGTATGATTTGACTTGAAGGGGATACCCAACCAGTGTGGAAAAAACCCCTATCCTTTCCAGTATTGTTCTTTGACTAAAACTGAGTTTCCCACAGCTTTTTCCTACCCCTGCCCTGGATGCATTTTCTCTAAATACCCCCTCCCTGTTATGCATACACAACCTAAAACGCACTTCCAACACATTAAAGAGGTTACACCAAACCTTGTGTGACAAATCACGTGTGGGCAGTGCTTTCATGTTCTCCTTATCTTAGTGCTTGCTCTTGATTTTTAAATGTATGTGTCACACTCCTCATGTGTTGGTAGTGAGTGGGCAGTGTATATGGTCAGTTGATCGCATGCCGCTTGTATGGCAAGAGAAGAAGCAACAGGAGAGCTGCTGTTTGAAAAGGACAAAAAAGCTGCATTTTGGAATAAACCTCAATTACCTCCGAACCCTGTGGCTTCAACTGTTTGCAGATCCTGTAACCCAGATAATGGATAGAATCAAATTCAACTCCAAGTTGAAGTTGTGGCCACAGTTTTCAAACTATATTTCCTAATCACGGATTGTGATGAATTAAAAATAAATACTAATATTTACTTATTTCCTCCCTTATGTCTGTTTGCAGTTCCAGCTCATCTGGTACCCAGATTCCAAAGACAGAGGGTACGTTTACTTTACTGGAGGAAACTGTTTATGTCCTTAAATGCTTTCATGTTTGTTTTCTCTCTAAAATCCCTTATTTCCTTTTCTTTTTCAGTACCTCCTCAAACTGTATAGAAAATATTGTATATACTTAAAAGAGAGGTCGGCACAGGAGCCACGCCAGCGAATATACACCATGGCCATTCCTCTTATGGCCAATATACCTCTGCCAGCTGGATGATCAAGAAACAGGGTTTTCCAACATGGTTTCACTAGGTTTCCCACGGAATTCTGTAAAAAATCTTAAGTGAGAAAATATCTATCTATAGATTGCTCAGTATTCTGTGAGTGTTGGGACTAAAAGCTTGTTTTAGACCAAAAAAAAAGAAGAAGAAATAATAAAAAAAAAAATTCCAAGACTTGATGAGGTACTTTTAATCGAACAAATGAAACAATTATTGCTGTCCCTCTTGCTTAAATTTCACTTCTGTGAAACAATTGAATTAAAAGCATGATTAAATATTTAAAGACTAGCACAATCTCCAGGTCGAAACAAAGAAGTGCATGCATTGATAACATTGTAACAACTGTCTTTTGCCTTATTTTTTCTTTATTTCTGTTGATATCTACTTTTATGCTCCTTAGAAAAATGGTAACTTATTAATAGAATAGACCAAATATAACCTAAAAATTAAATAGCTAGCACAATATCTTAATGAAAAAATGTAAAGACAACATTCAGTAATGTATTTTATTTTGAAAATGCTTTTAAAAAATACAAGAATGGATGAAATGTGTAGTAATATGTTGATTTGGGGTTTACGATTTCTGTTTTAATTTAAAAGGGCAAATGTATTAAAAATGAAATTATTATCTGTAAAAGCCTAAACAATGAGACCACTGTTTCAAATAAAGATCCTGTCAACTCAACATGATTTTATCAGTGTCTTTAATAATCTAATAATCTGAATTAAGAATTATCTTGATGAAATGATCCAGTATGAAGTAAAAATTAAAATATTATCATCATGTTATTTACATAGGGCATTGATCTTTCTTTTTTGCTTTACAGGAATTTACTATGTCTAATAACAGAGATGACACAAAGGTGAGAGACAGCTCAAAGCTTCTTTATCACTCAGATTACAGTGAACACCAGACCTTGTTTCAACTGTGACTAAGGGTCACTGTCACGGCAGTAAATGTCGGTGTAAACTGGGAGTGAAACATAAATACTCCTTGAGTGTGACAGAGCTTTCTAGTGGGATGTTGTATTTTCCATCCTGCTCATTTCTGTAGCCAAATGTAAGTGGGGATCTTCAAAGGGTGGCCTGAACATCGAAAGACTTAGATGGAACCTTTTAAATACAGTGTTATTGTACTTTTATTCATGACTCATGAGTAAAATGTACAGTTAGTCAGACAATTTGTCACTGCACTTACTCATGTAATGTCTTTGTGATAAGAACATTCTTTGTCGTAATCAGTTTCTAATACATAAAACAATAGTTTTACACAGTAAAGTTTCTTTTCCACAAAGGAAGTACCAGATGTCATACACCTCAGTATAACATGATGTATACAGAAAGAAAGTTAAATTATATGATAGATTTGTTTCATTGTGAACACATGCATTCTTAACACACATAATGACTGAAATCTAAACCATCACTCAGTGTATCAATATGATAACATGATATAATGGGGGCTTTTTGACAACAGAGTCAGTGGGGTTTCAGGGACACTGTCCTGGAGGTCATAGAAACGATTTCATAGAAATCAACATTAAACTGGGAGTGTAGCCTGTTAGGAAAATGAACATTACTTCACCTTCCACAGCACGTTCTATACCTTCTACTCTTTGAAGATAATGCGGTTCATTTAAACGCTTTCATTTAAAAGTGTTAAGTATCCATTTTGACAAAAAATAAATATATAAATTAAATTGTCTATAATTGTCAGGATTTTACAAACATGCCAATTTGTGCAGCAGCAGGAGCATTTTGTGAAAAAGGCTTGATGGATTATATCACATTTTGGAATGAAATGCTTCACTTCACCCTATGCCTGGAAAAATAAATAAAGTACTATCTGTTTACAGACACTAAATCACAGGTAATTTAAGCTTTATGCATTAAAGCATTATTTGTCTAATCCAATGTGAATTATTCTACAGATTAAAATGCCAAACAACATATAGGCCAGAGACTCCCAAAACCACGTAGTAATAAATCCCCTTCTTAACAGAGGAAACATGTTAAAGGCTTATTTTCCTCCAAATGGGGATTACAAGTGATTCAAATCATTCCTGGTCCTGCAAGGACACGATACGTCGACGAGAAGAAGCACTTCGTTTCTTCAGCATGAGCTTGAGCTAGAAGTGAAAAGATAAATTAAGGATGACAATGAATTACTCTTGATACAAACTAAAGCCGCAGCATGACTAAACAGTATGGATCTGGCTGGCTGTTAAAATGATGGGGCAGCTCACCTGCTCTCCCTGGATACCGCTCTGCAGCAGGTGAGCTGGCTGGTCGTTCTCCAGGTTGCGGATACTGGGATCAGCTCCCCTGCTCAGCAGCAGCCGCAGGATTTCCTCCTGGTGGGGGTTACCATGGAGACCAGCTGCCATGTGTAAAGCTGTGTGACCATGAGCCTATTCCAAAAAGGGAAAATGCAGCATAACTCAGGCTGTTTACAGTCAGGTGTGTGTACAGTATTTGCACATATACATAAACCCACAAACACATGCATATTTAAAAATGCTGTTTTGAGTGTCGTGTCAGTGTGGGACTCACTTTCAAGTTGACAAAGTCTTTCATGTTTGGCAGGGGAATCCTGAGCAGATAACGCACCAGATCAATGTTCCCCTCCTTTACAGCCAAGTGCAGAACAGTCTTGTTACTTTTGATTTCCTGGAATTGGAGAATTGGAAGTGATGGAAAAAACATAATGAAACCACAAGTCAGACTGAGACAAGTGTCAAACAAGAAAGAGAAGGGTGGGGGTAACTTGTACTATGACATCATCATGCTTAGATAAAACCTGGGCACTTCCCCTATGAACTGTAAATTTGACTGAAAGGTCAGAGTTTAGCATGTTTGACTTTGATGTGTCTACCTGATTGCTGAGCCACTGGTCATTAATCATTCATTTGTTAGTGTTCTGTCTATAATAGGCCTATGTCTCATCAAAGCAGCTTACATCACATTCAGAAAAGGAGAGAAAGCTATGCTCTACCTGACTGAGCAGCGACGCCCCAGCATTGAGAAGCATCTGCACACAGGAGAGCTTCTCCGCAGCCTTGTTCTGAAAACTAACATCTACCAGCCCACTGCTGGACAAAGCCTTCAAGGTGACACTGTGAGAAATGGCTGCACAGTGCAGAGGAGTCATACCTGAGGTAAAAAAGGAGACACATATCATTTGAATCAAAGTTCTAATGATGTCAATGTTTTTGGACAGTTGTTTAATCATTCAGTAATAATAACTGGTAAAACATGAAATCACCTTCAAAATTGCGGGCCTCCAGGTTGACAGTCAGCCTGCTAGACAGAATTGCCTGAAAGAAAATAATCACTGTTAAGGTCTGCTCTGAGCTGCTGTGACATTGCTAAAGAAATTCAGTGCTACTGGTGCTTTACCTGCAGAACCCCAGGTAAGCCATAGTGGGCAGCCAGGTGAAGGGCAGTTTGTCCTTTAACATCACAGGCGTTGATATCCGTTCCTAATGACAGCAGATCTTGCACGATCTCTGGCTGGTTTGCCGTCACCGCCACCAGTAAAGCAGTCTGCACAAGCACACATTTTTCATACAACTTCATTTTGACTAATTATAATACTTGGAGATAAACAAAAATACTCAAGAAGAGTAACTTGCACACTTTTAAGACATTTGGAAAACTTTTTGTCCATACCTTTCCCTTGTGTTCTTTGGCGTCGAGCCTGCCTACATCCCTCAGCCTCTCTGCAGCAGCAAAGGCACACTCCCTGAGCCCCTTGGCAGTGTAGATGTGCAGGATGCTAACAGAACAAGAACACATGATAAATTAATTTTATCATGTGCAAACGAGACTGCATGGAAAATCTTGGTAATCCCCGCAACCAATTTCATGCCATTCCCTTTCAGAGTCAAATTTGTCACTCCATTTTATCTGACTTTCTAATCACCGAGCATGAGTGGCTGACTCATTGACATTTTTTTGTTTTCTTCATCTTTCAAGGAATACAGAACTGCACATGTGGCCCTCGCTTTTAGCTTGCAACTGAAAACGAAACTCCTCTGGAAGTAAATATATTGTGCACTCTCATACAGTGAGGGTTTAAGCGAGTCTGAAAACGTGTATTGTTATGAATCTTCCCTCAGACAATATGTTGAATAACAGTTCAGGGTATTTTTTGTGTACCACTCTGTGTGTACTACTCTGTGTGTGTATCAGTGTGAACTTCTATGACATCTTAATATATGAAAGAAAAATAAGAGGTTCCATATTCTGCAGTTACACGTTTACTTATATAAACCACACACGCATTCGCTCATAAGCACTCACGTGTCTCCATCTTCATCCTGCCTGGTGGCTCTGCTGTAGTCCATCCCATTCAGCAGCATCCTGGCCTCTTCCAGCTTGGTGGCGTCCATAGATGAACCAAAACTCAGCTGTGTGGTCTGACTGGGACCCAGAAGTGGCCAAGACGGAGCCATATTGTGATCCGCAACTGTCATCGGGCATTCCTGCTCAAATGAACACAGGATATCCTTTAAAATGAATTCAGCAACATTAAAGTGTGATTATGCACTTACAGACAAATACAAGGGATTTCACTTACATATGGCTGAGACATTGTATCTCCAAATCCCGGCACCTGCTGCTGCTGCTGTGTGCTGTATTCAGATGCCAATGGGATGCTGTAGGTTGAACCATAGCTTGATCCTGAATGGCTGGGGTAATAATTGAGTGTAGACTCTGGCGCTGGAGGCCACTGCTCAAAGCTCACTGCCATGTCTGAGTAGCTGCCTGATGCACCTAGAATGGAGATGGTGGACTGTTACTCATCACTGATGACTCAGTGAGTTATATTTATACATCACTTTCAAGGTCACATGATTAGACGAAAAGGGCTGGTGATATGTTATATTATTGGATGATTAATTGTTGATACATCGTATTAATGTTGCAGCTGGTGAAAGTGGAATTATTATTAGATTCTTAACTTATAATATAACAATAACTTGTCATTTAAGTTATCAAAAAATGTAGTAGAGTTCAAACTATAGTATTTGCCTCTCAAAAACAAAAGGTGTAAAGTAAGACAAAATGGAAATAATTAGTGTACTTAGTTACTTTCCACCATTGAGCAGGGCGTGAAAAAATAGCAACTTCAGCAAGTCTGAATCATTAATTTATTTTTGGACAGCTCTCTCTCTCTCTCTCTCTCTCTCTCTCTCTCTCTCTCTCTCTCTCTTTCACATAACACTCATTAGCATTAATTTAATGTTACTTTTAGTCTTTTCGTGTGATTTGTTTAACATAAGTAAAATATAGAATATCACCAGACTTATCCTATTCTTACCTGTACAGGAAAATGCTTCGGATGCTGACAACTGCTGGGAGAAAGAAAAAAAGAGCAATCATAAACAATCACATCTTTATGATATAATATTAAGTGAGATGCTGAACCCCTGTGTGTGCTGCCTTACTGTAACAGAAGTTGGAGGAACAGGACTGGTGCTGGCCGTAGAGCAGACAGGTGGCACAGAGGACGACTCACGCCTTCTCTTCTGCTCTAAGAGTTTCTTCACTGTGGGCAGAGTGCAACACGGCTTCTCTTTTGGTGCTGGAAAGGAAAAAGAATTGCCAAAAGGAATGACTACATGGTCATATATTTTGTTCACATGTGACGGGTATTGGAGATCAATAAAGTTTGGATAT